TTGTTGTTGCAGGTGGTGATTCGCCCATAAGCGGGGACACTGAGCACGGCGGTCCACGCAGCACCGAGTGCGGCCCTGAGGCATGGCTGAAGTACAACGAGCTGCTGTTTACAGTGCAACACTCATCATGCTCTGAAGAGCCCGACGTAGACGGCGAGGGCACGGAGTCCTCATCCTGTGACAGCGAGGATCAGTCTGGCGACGCGGACTGGGTCGCAAGCGAGACCGAGTCCGAAGGGGAGACTGATAACACGCCTCCTCCCTCTCACCAATCTGAACTCGCAGGAACGGGAGGTTGCGGCCAATCTGCATCAGGCCGTGCGGGTAAGCGCTTGCGGGCCACCGGGAGCGGGTCCGGCCCGTTACGCTGTGACGCCAACACGTCTGTGCTTCGACGGGTCGTGGCTGTGACGACACGGGCGTCCGGCATGAGGCGCAACTTTTTTAACATCTACGAGGAGACGTGCGACGGTGACATTCCGTCGGCTTCAGGCCAGAGCGCGAATGTTGCACGAGGCGAGCCGGCGACGTCAGAGACCCGAGTACACGATAAGAAATTGCAGCCGTCACTAACCACGGCGGCAGCGGGTCTTGGTGGGTACCCCGCCACATCGACCCCCACACCTACCACCCCTCTGAATCGGTCGCAGGATGTCGTCAGGGGATCGGCGTTTTCAGGTAACTCCGCGAGGCCGTGGCCACTCACCCCGACCACAACTCTTAAGCACAGTGGTGTGGAAGCCGAGTCTAACGCGGCACCTTCTCGTGGCGGGGGGGTGGTGAACCGGACCTTGTTCGCTTCGCCGCCCAGGATGCATCCTTCTAAAACTGCCTGCTCGCCTTCTAACATTACCCCTGCCACGCCCTTGGCAGCACCTTCACCGCAGGTGCACGAACGTGGTCCGGACGGAGCTGGTGTGTTGCCTGGCATGATTCCCACGCCCTTCCTGGACACATGCGAGGACACTCACGCCAGTGTCCGTGGAGCGGACACCGTTCTTGGCGGCGATGGGTGTCGAGACGACGTCGCAGGGCGTGCGATGGAGCAAATACGGCTGCTGTGGGCGCAGGTTCAGGCGACTCGTGGGACAAAGGGTCCATCGGATGCGGCACAAGGGGGCGTGATGAACTTCACCCTTGGCGAAGACCTGCATGCCGCTCTTGCGGGAATGGACGGCGACGCGGCGGAAGAGTCGGGCAAAGGAGGCGGAGTTGTAACGCCAGCCGTGGCAGCCCAGCCGCAGGTGTGGAGGCCTGGCGGCAGGGCTGGAGATGCACCCCAACAGAGTGGGGTTCGGAGGGAAGCGTGCGTGGCGACGCAAGCACCAACACGACCCGCCGGAGCTGCCAATGAGTTAGCGCCGGTAGCAGAGGCATTTGAGCGGCCAAACCGCGGATTCGCAATGAACCGACTGTCAGGAGCTGGGAGGCTGGCGGTCGTGGGGAACCACGTGGCAACCCGGGTGGGCGGAGTTGGCGTGGGGACAGTGCCCGGGATGGCCGCGGGGAGCGTAGCGCCGGATGGTGTTGCGTGGGATCGACACGCGTCAGGCATGCAAGGAAGAGGGTTGAAGCGAGAGCGGTCGAAGATGACGATCGTGGTCGACTACAACCCTAACGATGCCAGGCCTGATTTGCAGCCGGGAATGCCTCCGGCAGACCAGATACACGTATGTGGTCTACGCATTCCTGGATAATTGTACGCATGAGGGATCGGTGTGGTTGTGATATTAAGCCTGGCGGTTTGCCCTGGGAATTGTCTCCATAGTCAAGTGTCGAAACTGCTCTGTGTCCGTGGCGTCGTGGTTCTCCCCCCCCCCCCCCCCCCCCCCCCCCCCCACCCCCTCCCTACCAACCCCGCCCCCCAGTTTTACGCCAAGAAGGCGATGCATCTGCTGTTGCGTTCATGCGCCGCGCATGGTGTAACGCACTGGCCGACGGACGACGAGAGGAACGTGGCCCTTCTCGTGGTGCTCCGGTGCCACTACGACGTCTGTCAGCTAGACGTTGACCGCGCCATGAACAACGGGGCGTACAGCAAGGTGGTCAACAAGATCTGGTCGAAGTTCAGAAGTGACTCGTCGTCGAACGGACGCCGCAGGATCGTGGATGGGCTGGAGATCGAGGTCGCAGCCACCGGCATCTACAAGCTGGAGATCGATATCGACACCAAGAAGGATTTCTCGTGGAAATACGCGCCCAGTGAGTGTCGTGGGTGCAAGGGGGGGATCCCCATGGAGGGCTCACAGGGCAGGGCCTATGTATGCTGGGGCTGATTTAACCACATACTTGCCTGCCACACCGTGTACAGAGAAGGAGCTTATGCAGCTTGTATCGACATGGAGCTGCGAGAGAGGGGATTTGCGGCCCTTTACCACCAAGGTCTTTTTTCAAGCATGCAAGGCGGCCTACCCTGAGTGGGTGTTTGGAGGCAACCTGGTGCTGGTGCCATACCACATCGCCTGGGTCTTGTATTCCGTGAGTGGATTGAAGCTATTCGTTCCGTGTTCTAAGTGGCCCCATGTATCCCACTGACAGTGTTCTGCAATTAACCATGTGGCAGTTCGATTTCGGGATACGCAACTGGAAGACAACAGCGATATGCATGACTCCTAGCCCTCTTGACAACGAGGGGGGGCTAGGTTACTGTAACGAGCAGGTGCTGAAAGTGATCACCCATTAGCTGGGTGTGTCAAAGGGCAGGTGGTACGATCCCGTCGTGGGCGGATTCAGGTGGGGGGCAGAGCACTTGTATGTCAACGCGAGTGACCTGGAGGAGTTCAAGCCCGTGCAATTTGGGGGAAAGATGGACCCGGGTGGTGACACCGACGAGCCGTGGCTCGCTTGATGTTGTTCTCTTGTGGTGCAGTGCCACGGGGGCACTAGGCATGCCTGTCAGAGCTTATATGTGCGGCCTGTTATAACGGGTGCGTAGTGTGGGTGCAGTATATGTGAAGATTAACTACTAGTAGTGCACATTTGTTTGCTATGTAACTAAGTGCGTCACAAAATGTAATATCCGCAGCAAACCCTAAATTGTTATATGCGTTAAGCGTTCGATGGTGTAGTGGATCATATTGTAGCGAGGATGCGCTGCGGACGTGTACACCATGTCCAGAATATATTGCGTCCGCTATAAACGTAACCCATGTAACTAGTGTCGACGCACTCAATGACGGGGATTAGGCGGTTTGTGTGCTAGACACGTGACCTAAATATGCCCTCGGAGTGACTTTTGGGTCAGTCTATCTGACCCGTACCTGACTTTTCCCGCCAAAATCTAACCCGTACCTGACCCGTACCTGACCCGTACCTGACCCGAAAGTCGCTTTTGGGTTAGCCTTCTCTGTACATTTACCATGACCAGGCTCTCACGAACAACCCCTGCATCTCACACAACCAAGTACCAAGTCTCTCGATAATTCCCAAACTCTCACAAGAACGACTGTATGCGACCATTCAAGCCCTCACGCGCAATCCCTCGCACTCAACTCCTCACATGCAAGCCGTAACTCGCGATATGTGCCCCTACCTACCTTGAAAAGACTGCAGATTCCTCTGAGCCATGCCCTTGCCTTGCTCAGACCGCCAAGCACTCACCACGTCTACAGATCATCCTGCTGCTTGGATTGTCTTCCAATACAGAGTCAGCGACGACGTGAAAGCCTTCAGTTTGTTGCTTAGACTCCAGACGTAACGGCCGTGGCACGTGATGTGGGTGTCGCAAACCAAAGGACCCGTGGCTCGTGTGAGCGAGCCGTGAAGCTCGAAACAGCTACCAGCATCACGATTCGCGAAGAGCAGACTTTGAGGAAAAATCCCGTCGAAACGCTCGAATATCGCTGGTACCTTGCAGTGAACGTACCAAGTCGACCTCGCCAAATGCTAGTGACCCTAAACGCAACTCCTGATCCCTTGATACGCTAGTGACTTCTGGGGCGACTAAAATTATCCGCGTTCCAATGGCACACAAAATGTTAATGACTGGCACAGCACAAACATGAGAGAGTGGGTTTTGTTACGCTAGTGACTTTTAGCTGGGGAGAGGAGAATCTAATCAGAGGAAACGAAAGCACGGTTGAAACTGTGAAGTGAAAGCAGTGGATTTGGATGGACGGTGCTGGCGTTCCTGGCGCTCCTCAATTGCAAAAGCTAGCCGTTATCGTCCGAACCGAATCGACACGGACCGAACCTCGAAATGTGCGCGTCAGGTTTGACCCTGACACAGATGTGTGATTTCAAAGTGGCGGGAAACCTTGGTTCCAGACCCACATGGGAAGCGTGCCAAATTGAATTCGGCGGCTGCTTTGTTCTTCACTATTGAGAAAGTTGACGATAATTTTGTGCTCCAATAGAACATAAATACAATGTATTGACTTATTTACTTATGGCGGTTAGGGTGCAAACCAGATCAGTGTTTAGTCTGAAGGGTCCCTGAAGAAAGTGTGCTGAATAATTTCTTCTACTCTTTCTGGTGTGAAGGCATAGAACTTGCATGATGTCAAGTCATCCCTGCAAGATGTAACACATGTACAGTACAAGGTTTCATACATGGACAGGATAAGAGGTCGGTGGAGTATGTAAGAAAGAAACACTTGCAAACACATCAAGTGCTCAAGAGCGCAGGCAGACACATGCACACACAAACCAGGAACGACACACCAGAGAAAAACTAACATAGACACAAACTCCCCCCCTTTCCCACACCCACCAGTAAGGCAGCAGCATCTTCCTGTATCACTCCTTGATGCTCGTCGCCCATTTTGCCCATCACTAGAGATGGCCCAGCACCCCTGCCTCTCCTGACTCAACACACACATTCTCTCTCTCCCAACCACACACTCTCTCGCCCCCTCCCACACCCACCAGTACGGCAGCAGCATCTTCCTGTACCGCTCCTTGATGCTCGTGGCCCACTTGGCCCATCGTTAGAAGTGGCCCAGTGCCTGCCTCTTCTACCCCTGAGGCCCACTGACACACACCAGCACACTCAAACTCACCAGTACGGCAGAAGCATCTTCCTGTACCGCTCCTTGATGCTCGTGGCCCACTTGGCTCGAATCTTCCGCCTCAGCCCATCGTCAGGGATCGTCCAGTGCCTCTGCCTCTCCTGTAGCTCCTCAAACGCCAAGTTGAACCGTTTTAGGCTGCATGCATGGAGAGTGGGGAATGGATAAAGGTGCCCCAGTGCCCATATCAGCCCATCGTCAGGAATGGTCCAGTGCCTCTGCCTCTCCTGTAGCTCCTCAAAGGCCAAGTTGAATCTCTTTAACCTGCAAGTAGGGGGTGAAAATCGTGTGAAGGGAGAAAGTTTGAGGCACCCATATCAGCCCATCGTCAGGGATCGTCCAGTGCCTCTGCCTCTCCTGCAGCTCCTCAAACGCAGAGTTGAACCGCTTTAGACTGCACACATTCAAAGGAGGGGTAACAGATGGAGATGGAGGAGACGGAGGAAATGGATGGGAGGCACCCCACTTCGTCAGGGATGGATGGGGGCTCATCGTCAGGGATGGCCCAGTGCCTCTGCCTCTCCTGTAGCTCCTATGTGTCACCAAACAAGTTATCTTGCTGTTACTTGCCATATTACTGCACGTAATCTCAGCCATCCAGCACGTCAACTCAAGCATGGCGTTTTCTTCCAGAACGTGTTAATTTACCGTTACGGGTCATCTCAGCGTTACATGTCATCTCACCGTTGCATCTCTGCCTTGACATAGTCGGCAGCACTTCTGTGCGACGGCTGCACTGCGTCCTCATTGGTGCTCAGGGCCGTCATGACCTGATGGGGTGACACAATGATTACGCGCGGGGTGGAAAGGGAAAGTGTGGTGGGGAGGAGTGGATGTGGGTGGGGAACAGTGCACGTGGGTGGTGCGAGAAGGGCACGTGGGTGGAAAACTGTGCATGTGGATGGGGAGCGGTGCATGCGGGTGGGAAGAGAAGCGCTCGGGAGTGGGTGCACTACCTGTGAAGAAGTGGCAGGGACGAGAGAGGAGGGCGAGGCAATGGAACGAGGGACTCGAACGAGGGACTGTAACATGTATCTGTCTCACCTTGAGCAGGGCGAGGGACTGGAACGCCCCTGCGTGTTGCTGCACCACTCGGTCGTCATGCAGGTGTGCTAGTGCTACCTGCTATTTGCCAGGCTGACAAGACTCAATTGAACCCCTCTGGAAGGATGCCTTACTGGTATGTCCCCGTCTCACCTTGAGCAGAGCGAGGGACTGGAATGCCCCCGCGTGCTGCTGCACTACTCTGTCGTCATGCAGGTCTGCGAGTGCCACCTGCTATTTGCCAGGCTGACACGGCGGGGACATGACTCACCTTGAGCAGGGCGAGGGACTGGAATGCCCCTGCGTGTTGCTGCACCACTCGGTCGTCATGCAGGTCTGCTAGTGCCACCATGAGGTCCTTGGCGCCCTCCCTGGTGGCGGGTAACGGGGGGATGGACGAAGAGTGAGCTACTGCTCTGCACCGCACTCTACCACCACCCGGTCGTCATGCAGGTCTGCCAGCGCCACCATGAGGTCCTTGGCGCCCTCCCTGGTGGCGAATGGTGGAAACGGGAGAAAATAATGCTGAACCACTCTACACCGCGCTCAACCACCACGCGGTCGCCATGCAGGTCTGCAAGTGCTACCATAAGGTCCTTTGCACCCTCCCTGGTGGGGGTTAACAAGGGTGAGAGGATGGATGGAAGACCGCACCAGTCCGCACCACATTCTACCACTCTGCACCGCACTCTACCACTACTCGGTCGTCATTCTGGTCTGCCTGCCGCTTTGGTGGTTGAGGGGTGCGGAAGATTGAATGGGGGAGGAAAGGAGTCTGCACCCCTCTGCACCGCACTCAGTTCATGAAGTGTGGAGGGAAGCAGGCTGAACCACTCTGCACCACATTCTACCACATTGCCATCATGGCAAAATGCTATTGCTGATGTGGCCCTCCTCAACCACTCTGCACCTCCCTACTGCACCACTCAACCAGTCTGGTACGGATTTCTTGGAACACATGATAGACTCAACTGATTTAACCCAACCCACCATTGCAGCCGTAACCCCCAACAGCAGTGCCATACCTTCTCACAGCAGACAGGTTCTTTTCAATGCCCTGTGAGTGCCACCCATGCCAGTCGTTCCTGCCCAGGTAAAAAAAAGGAAGAGGAAAATTAGGTTAAAAATAGTAATGTCAAAAGGCACGCTAGATTCTTTGTCAACGAAAGTGGGCAATGTCAAGACAGCTTAGCTCGCCCTGAACTCTAAATTCCTCCTCAAAGCCTTCACCAGCTGAGGCTGAGTTGTCTCACGACTCCTCCCCCTCCTCCCCCACACACAAGCAGGATGGACTCACACACATGGAACTTTACAATATAATATTACTATCTTTATAAGAAACAGCAGCTCCTCTTCTGAATAATGCCTCGGCCTGGACTCTAAATTCCTCCTCAAAGCCATCACCAGCTGAGGCTGAGCTGTTTCACTCGATACATAATACATTGCATCCCCCCCCCCATCCCCCCCCATCCTCCCAGCATAACTCACATGGACTTGACAAGATAATTGAGGTTGTTCATAAGGAATAGTTGCTGTAGTTCCTCCTCCGGGTAGAGCCTCGCCCTGGACTCTAGATTCCTCCTTAGAGCCATCACCAGCTGAGCTGTCTCGCTCTCCAGGCTCCTCCCGACACCTGGCGCCCTCCCGTTTGCTGACATGGCAGATGCTGACGTGGCGTTCATGGTGGCGGCGGCGGCGGCGGCAGCAATGGGATTGGAGGAGGCGAGAGGGGAGAGGGAGGAGGAGGCGGGGAGGGAGAGGAGGGCGAAATCTGCTGTGAGAGAGCTCGGGTCTTCGTCTGGGTGAGCCTCAAGGAGGGAGAAGAGGGACGTGAGGGAATCCACGTAGCTGCGCCTGCCTTGCCTGCTCAGGTGGGTGGGGGTTGGGAGGGAAAGGAGGAGGAAGATAAAGAAAGGGAAAGCTGGGCTCTTCGTCTGGGTGAGCCTCAAGGAGAGAGAAGAGGATGTGAGGGAATCAACGTAGCTTCATCTTCCTTGCCTGTCCAAGTCAGTTGGAAGGGAGGAAAAGGAGAAGGGAAGAGGGGAGGTGGGGAGGGGGGAGTTGGGGGGAAGGAGAGGAGGGGAGAGAAGGGATCAGCAAATAGTTGAGTTGTGTTGTGGGAGAGAAGGGAGAGGAGGGCGAAATCTGCTGTGAGGGAGCTCGGGTCTTTGTCTGGGTGAGCTTCAAGGAGGGAGAAGAGGGATGTGAGGGAATCCACGCAGCTTCGTCTGCCTTGCCTGCTCAGGAAAATGGGGAGGGGGAGGAGCGGAAAGATTGAGTATATAGTTCAGCTGCCTGGTTTGAGGGAGTTTGAATCTTCGTCAGGGTGAGCCTCAAGGAGAGAGAAGAGGGATGTGAGGGAATCCACATAGCTTCGCCTTCCTTGCCTGCTCAGGTGGGTTGGGTCGGGAGGGAAAGAAAGAACAAGGCAAACAAAGGGAAAGCAGAATTTGTCAACTGTGTGGGTGTCGAGAAGGGGGAAGAAGGAGGGAAGGGAGGGAGCCAACATAGCTGCGCTGTCCTTGCCTGTGCAGGTAAAATGGGAGCAATGGGAACGATGGGAAGGTAAGTTGGAAGGAGGAAAACGAGGAAGGGGAAACTACCTTGTGGTTCTTGTCCTTGTGTCCCCTAGTCTCACCCTGAACCTGTTATTTGAACTTTCCACAGCCAACAGGCCCCTCGTTTCCACTCACCCTTCTCCACAGTTCTTGTCCTTGTGTGTCCAACTCGCATTCACTCTTCCTCCCCCTCCCCCCCTTACTCGACTCACCGCTGCATGTAGCTGCGGATATAGTTAGCAACATAGCTCGTAATCGAGTCCACAGCCCCCCCTCGCGGCACGATCTCATACACCGACTCGTCTGGTGCCACCGCCGTGCTGCTGTTGCTGGTGGCGCTGCGAGTGAGGAAGCTGAATAAGAGGGCAGAGCAGAGATTCAAAGGAGAACTTGGGCGAGGGTAAAGGGGCGGTTGTTGTGACGTGTGCACCGGACTCGTCAGGCACGATCTCAAAACTGGCGGGAACGGGTTTCCGCATGGCACCAGCGAGATTAGAAGCAGCAGAGTCCTCCGGTAAGAGCTTGAGACGTTGGAAGCATGCTGCCACTGCTGCTGCTGCTGCTGCTGCTGCTGCTGCTGCTGCTCGCCATACTCCACCATTTACCTCGTTCACCAATCTCCCCCCCCCTGTCACTCACCTCAGGGCTGCCTTCTTGGCGGGAACGGGTTTCCTCATAGCGTCAGTGAGATTAGAAGCAGCAGAATCCTCCAGAGGCAGCTTGAGACGCTGGAAGCATGCTGCTGCTAGTGCTCTCACCAGTGCAGTGCAGACAGAAAACCGTAGCGCCACTCACCTCAGAGCTGCCTTCTTGGCGGGAACAGGTTTCCTCATAGCATCAGCGAGGTTAGAAGCAGCAGAATCCTCGAGTAAGAGCTTGAGGCGTTGGAAGCATGCTGCCACTGCTCGCCCCAGCAGCAGCGGCAGGCCCTCGCACGCCCCCCACACGTTGCTGACCTTGAGGTCCTGAAAGGTGGCTGACAGCTGGGGTGTGAACACAACACAGGGATGGGAGTGCAGGGCGGGCGAGGGGTGCACAAGGGTATGCATTAGATGGGAGGTAGGGGTCAGCTTGAGGCGCTGGAAGCATGCTGCTGTTGCTCGCCCCAGCAGACGACTTTTGAGGCGCTGGAAGCATGCTGCCACTGCGCGCCCCAGCAGCAGCGGCAGGCCCTCGCAAGGCCCCCATACATTGCTGACCTTGAGGTCCTGAAATGTGGCTGACAGCTGGGAGAGGGAGACAGGACAGACATAGGCAGAGAGAGCGTGGGATGTAAGCACAGGGATGCACGTGCAGGGAGAGGAGGGTTACACAAGGGTATGGGTTAGGGTGGTTGGAAGCACGCTGCCACTGCTCGCCCCAGCAGCAGCGGCAAGCCCTCACATGCCCCCCACACATTGCTGACCTTGAGGTCCTGAAAGGTGGCAGCGAGCTGGGGTAGAAGTAGAGGGGAAGAGCGATTGAGAGAGAGGGAGAGGCAGGGGGGGGAGAAAGAGCTGAAAGGCCAGCAGCAGGGCAAGCCGATCACATGCACCCATCCCCACCCCACCCCACCACACAGTTCTGCCGATTTTTTAGTCGACTCAGAAATCGTCTCATCACACATGGACGTAGAGGGGAGGCGAGAGGGAGGCAGGGAGAGGAGCGGGAGCTGAAAGGCCAGCAGCAGTGCAAGCTGCTCACATGCACCCCACCACACAGTTCTGCCCTTCACATCACCTGCAGTCACACATGACCTACAGTCAGTCACATCACCTGCAGTCACACATCACCTACAAGCACATAGATTCCTATGTGATTGTACACGATGTTACTCCGCCATGCTGCGTCTTCTCAACCCCTGCCAGCTACAGTCACATCACATCACATCATGCCCAACACACACACCCACCCACCCATACCCACCTCTGGCATGATCTCTTGAACCACTTGGTACGCACCCAGCAGCGACAACAGCTGCTCTTACATGCACCTCTTCTCGATCCCTACAGTCACATCACATCATCCACAGTCACACTACTACTACTGTGACATACACACTCGACACATACCTGATGGATGACATACACTTGGTATGTGACATACACACTCGACACATACCTGATGGATGACATACACTTGGTATGTGACATACACACTCGACACATACCTCCGGCATGATCTCTTGAACCACTTGGTATGCGTCCAGCAATGAAAACAGCTGCTCTGCCATCCGCCGTGACACAAACCCTTCATATCACTTACAACAACTACAATCCGTCCCCCCACCCACCTCCGGCATGATCTCTTGCACCACTTGGTACGCGTCCAGCAATGAAAACAGCTGCTCTGCCATCCGCCGTGACACAATGGCCCTCAGCACGTCCGCTAGAAACAAAACCCGCCGCCCGACGCCGCCGTCCTCCAGCACGCCCCTTAGGGCGGCACGCCTCTGTGTATCCATGCCCTTCCAAGCCTCGTTGACCGTCTGATGCTCCATGGGGATTATCAGCGCTCCCTGTGCAGAAAGGGGGATTGCAATAGAGAGGATAAACTCCCACAACACCACCCGAGGGCCTCCTCACACATCGTCTCATCTCTGTGTGTCCATCCATGCCCCTCCAGGCCTCGTTGGCCGTCTGATGCTCCATGGGGATTATCATCAGTGCTCCCTGTGCAGAAAGGGCATGGTCAGTGACAACATCAGTGAGACACACACAAAGAAACACCACAGAAACACCCACACATGCACACGCACACACCCATAACACCTCTCGCCACTGTGTGTCCATGCTCCATGGGGATTATCAGCGCAGCGCCCCTTGTGCAGAAAGGCTCTCCCACACACACATGCACATGCACACATGCACAAGCACACACAACACCTCTCGCCTCTGTGTGCACATGCACATGCACATGCACATGCACATGCACATGCTCCATGGGGATTATCCGCGCCCCTTGTGCAGAAAGGCTCACCCACACACCCTCAGTGCTTATTGGAGGGTGGGTGGGTGATGCATACATATAACAGCGTTCCTTTGATATAAGCTCCCCGCGCCCACTCCTTTGATGCCTGCTCCAGCACCCTCCACTGTGCCTCGTGAGTCAACTCCCCACTCAACAACACATCCTCTCAGGTAATGGGGGGCATCCTCTAGCAGGTAACAACACATCCTCACAGCACTACAGCATCCAACTTACAATGATATAAGCTGCCTGCACCCATTCCTTTGACGCCTGCTCCAGCACCCTCCACGGCGCCTCGTGAATCACCCCCGGACTCAACACGTCTTCCAGTCTGAGCTCGTCCATTAGGGCTTTAACTGCCTCGACCCGCACGGACCTGTGAACAGGGGGAAGGGAACAGGGGGGCACAGGGGCAAACGAGAGTGTTTGGCCACGTGAATCACCCCCGGACTCAACACATCCTCCAGCCTCAGCTCGTCCATCAAGGCTTTAACTGCCTCCACGCGCACGGACCTGCGCGGGGGTGTAAGGGAAGGTGCGGGGCCAACAGGAGGAAAATCGTGAGGCAGGCGGGGCTAGAGGGCTCAACTCAACACATCCTCGCCCATCAGCGCCTTTACTGCCTCCACTCTCACAGACCTGTGAGGGCAACAGGGGCAAAGGGGAGGGGAGTGCTTGCATGTGAATACCCCCGGGCTCAACTCAGCACATCCTCCAGCTTCAACTCGCCCATCAGCGCCTTTACTGCCCCCACCTGGACGGACCTAAGAGGGCAACAGGGGGAAAGGATGGGGGAACAGGGGGGCGCATGAGCAAGCCAAGGGCAGTGGCAGTGCCTGCATGTGAAGTGAATCACCCCCCGGGCTCAGCACATTCTCCAGCCTCAGCTCGTCCATCAGAGCTTTCACTGCATCCACACCACACGCACGGACCTTTGAGTCGACTCAAAAGTCACCTTGCATCCACACCACACGCACGGACCTGCATGGGGGTTTGTAGGTTTGGGGTTTGTTGTGAGGTTTGGGGTTTGTGGTGAGGTTTGGGGTTTGTGGTGAGGTTTGGGGTTTGTGGTGAGGTTTGGGGTTTGTGGTGAGGTTTGGGGTGAAGGTGAGAATGAGGAGGAGAGTGAAGAGAGGGGGAGGGGGAAGAGGGGGGTGCGAGGAAAAGGAGGCGAGACAAGAGGAGGTATGACCAGGAGAAGGCTTTGTTTATCCACCAATGGTTCGGCCGAACCGGTTCGGTTCGTTAGCTATTTTAACAAACCATGAACCGGCACCATGCAAACCGGTTCGTGAACGAACCGGTTCGGTTTGGTAGTGATTAGTGAACCGGTTTGGTTTTTAATGGTAGAAAAACGAATCGGTTCGGTTTGGTACCGTGCTCATGCCTATCCACCATGGTTCGGTTTGGTTCGGTTTGGTTCGGTTTACCCTCCTCTCCCAGCCACCGTGTTTATTCGACCAATCACCACACACGGTGCTCATTTATCCTCACCTATAAGCTTCCACGCACTTTCCTCCCGCCCCTCCCTGCACCATCCTCCCTGCTGCCTCATTCAACCACCGCCCTGTGCTCACAGGAAACAGCTCAGGAACCTTCCTCCTCTCCTTCCTCCTCCCTTCCCCCTCCTCCTCATCCCCCCCTTCTCCCCCCCCTTTCTCGTCCCCTTCCCCCTTCCCCTCCTCAAGCTCCCTCCTCCCCTCCCTTCTCCCCTCCCCCCGCTCCTCCCCCCTTTCCCCTGGACTTAAAAGCCCTCCATCCTCCCCGTCCGCCCCTGCTCTCCCTTCTCTGCTCGCCCTCACCTCCCCGCCCTCCTGTGCCAGCTCCACACCACCCCCCGCATGCAGGAACTCCGCTTGGAACAGCCTCTTCAGCTCGTCTACTGAAAATCGCGCGGATGCCTGCTTGCTGGGGGAAAGGAAACGCGTTGAGACGGGCAGGGAGGGTGGGTGAGGGAGGGCGGTAAGGGGGAGAGGGAGGACGTGCAGGAACTCCGCCTGGAACAGCCTCTTCAGCTCGTCTACACTGAAGCGGGCGGAGGCCTGTTTGCTGGGGAGTAAGGGGGGGGGGGGGGGGGGAGGGAAGAAGGTTCAAGAGAGAACGGAAGGGGCATGTGGGGGAGGGGGAGCACATGGGGGAACTCCGCCTGGAGGAGCCTCTTCAGCTCGTCTGCGCTGAAGCGGGCGGAGGCTTGCTGGAAGAAGGGGGAAGCGGAAGTAGAGGGAAACGGGGAAGCAGGGGAGGGGGGTGGGGGGGGTCAAGGGGAAAGGAAGCAAAAGGGGTAACTCCGCTTGGAACAGCCTCTTCAGCTCGTCTACACTGAAGCGGGCGGAGAGGCTTACTTGCTGGGGTGTTGAGGGGAGGCGGGGATGGAAGGAAAAGGAGAAATAGATGGGGGGAACGAGATGGTAAGGGGGAAAGGAAGCACATGGGGAGACTCCGCTTGGAACAGCCTCTTCAGCTCGTCCGCACTGAAGCGGGGGGGCGCTTGCTTGCTGGGAGTGGGGAAGGGCGGAAGCGGGGAGAAAGAAAGGGGAAAAGGCAGTGGAGTGAGACGGGGAGGGGGGTGTTGGGGGGAAGGAAGGAAGGGGCTCGCCCCCCACAACGTACCCCAGAATCCCCTGTATGCCACAAGCCCTGGCACTCACAAGCCCAGGTACCTTCGGGGGCGCCTCACAAGCCCAGGTAACTTCTGGGGCTTCTCACGAGCCCAGGTACCAGCACAACACTTACTTACCCCTTCTTAACTGACACCGTCTCACTCACCTGCGCCTCTTGAGAATGTCTCTCTCTTCGTAGTCCAGGTCCCCATGGCCGTCCGCAGCAGCACTGTTCCCCTGTTTGTCTTCACGCACCTTGGTACCTGCAATCACTGACCCCCTTCTCAACCCCCTCGTCACCTGCGCCGCTTAAGTATGTCTCTCAGTTCCTAGTCCAGACTCCAGATGCTCCACCCACAGCAGTCCAGCAACCTCTTAACCTGCACCGTCTCACCTGCGCCTCTTGAGAATGTCTCTCAGTTCGTAGTCCAAATCCTCCATGGCCGTCCGCAGCAGCATGTCCGCTCTGCGACCCGACTCCTTCTCCCCCACCTCCGCCAGCACCTTCCTCACGTTCAGAAGCAGGTCCACCACTGGGAGGTACTCGTCTAGCTTGCCATGTGGCCCAGCCGCAATCATTGCCTCGATCTGCACAAGAGAGGGAGCAGGCGTGTATGGAAAGGGGAGGGAAGGCGCTTGTTTGTGGGTCGCCCACCCCCCACCTCCGCCAGCACCTTCGTCACGTTCAGCAGCAGGTCAACCACGGGGAGGTATTCATCCAGTTTCCCATGGGGCCCTGCTGCAATCATCGCCTCGATCTAGACAAGAGAGCGAGCAGGATTGATTGGGAAGGGGGGAGTTGTGGGTTTGTGGGTTTGCGCGGTTACTCCTTCTCCCCCACCTCCGCCAGCACCTTCCTCACGTGCAGCAGCAGGTCAACCACGGGGAGGTACCCGCCTAGCTTGCCGTGTGGGCCTGCTGCGATCATGGCCTCGATCTGAAGGAGGGAGGAGGGGGAGTGGGGGGGAGAGGGGGTTTGGATTGGGCGGAAAGAGAGGAAGAGGGAGGTTGCTTCATTCCCACCTTCACGAGCACCTTCCTCACCTTCAGCAAGCAAGCCTCCTTAATTATCCTCAACCATGCTCACCTTAACCTTCCTTAACCGGTCTTAACCTAAGAAAAACACCCACTTGCTCACCTGGCTCAACAGCTCCCACACTTGCTCCAAAATGCTCTCTTTATCTTCCTTAACCGATCCAAACCATCCTCAACCGGTCTCTAACTCTGATAATTCACCCACTTGCTCACCTGACTCAACAGCTCTGGCACTTGCTCGAGAATGTTCTTCTTATCCTCTTCAACCCACCCATACCCTCCTCAACCCACCCATACCCTCTTCAGCCGCCCATGATTCACCCACTTGCTCACCTGACTCAACAGCTCAGACACTTGCTTTAAAATGTTCTCCATATCCTCCTCAACCAATCCAAACCCTGTTCAACCCGTCTCTAATCTTGAGTAGTCAACCACCAACTTGCTCACCTGACTCAACAGCTCTGATACTTGCTCCAAAATGTTCTCCTTATCCTCCTCCTCCGCCTCCTCCTCTCCCTCTCCTTCCCCATCCCCTTCCTCCTCCACTTCCGTTTCCTCCTCCGCTTCCGTTTCCTCCTCCTCTTCCTCCTCCTCCTCAAATTCCGTTTCCGTCTCCTCCGCCTCTGTTTCAACCTCCGTTTCAACCTCCGTCTCTACTTCCGTCTCAACTTCCGTCTCGAATTCCGTTTCCGTTTCAGCCTCCCCCTCCGTTTCAGTTTCCGTCTCGGACTCTGGCTGGGGAACCGGACGCCTGTACGGAACCGAGCCGCCGCCGCTCTGCCGCTGCTGAGCTGGCACCGGCGGGTTTCTTTGCCAGTTGTTCCGATCGTACGGTTGTTGCTCCCTGGTATCCCGCGAGTCACGCTGGTTCGAGTGACGCGGCTCGTACTGTTCATCCGGGTCGTACACGTCTCTAGAGTTTTGCTTTCCGCGGGAGGGCGGAAGTTCTTCTAGCGAAGCCTGGGGTCTGCGTGGCTGTATCGGGGGAGCCTGACGTGTCTGCTGCTGTTTCTGCTGCTGTTTCTGCTGCTGTTGCTGCTGCTGTTGCTGCTGTTCGGGACGGAGAAGCTGACGTGGCTGATGATGTGGAAGAGAGGGAAGCGCACGTGGCATGTCGTCATCTTCGTCCCAGGAATTGTTGCCGGGCCCGCCTCGTACGGGACCAGGGCGTTGGCGAGTATCCTGACAGACGAGAAAGGAATTTTTTTTCAGTCAACTTAAAAGACGAGCCGGGACCAATTTTTGACTCACATTGCTGTCGTGTCGATTATCCTGATTGACGAGAAGGGAACAACTCTCTGAGTCGGCACAAGTAAGCAGCCAAACGACGACGGGGAACAAGCAGCCAGCCATATACGGGGAAATTAACGACCACGCGAGGTGGCTCGCGGGGAGATTAAGGACCTCAAGAGGATGCTCACAGCCATACAAGCAGCCACTAGCGCTTAGATATTATGCGCTGGGAAGAGATCATTGGAGTGGTCTCAAAAGGCCGACGCATTTTCATCGATGCAGTGAGTCAAGTGAAGACAAGAAGACTACAATGCGTACGCATCGAAAGCAAGGAACCGTTGGAACGTGAAGCGGAGAGGTCAAAGGACAAAATGGCTCCTCCACGATCTTGCGTACCTTATGCATGGTGGTGAGTCGCTCGCAATATCATCCGCTAAGACACCGGAACCGTAAACCGAAAGGCCGAAAGCAGCACGGAAATCAACTCTCTCAACGCTCCCCGAACGAGAAACGGTTGAACAACCAACTTAAGCAACTATCAGACTTCAAGACTACGAGTGCCAGGTGCGAAAGGCATCAAAGCGCGTGCTGCTTCGAACTGCTCCTCGTCCGCAGAGCTTCGCAGAGCGCTACTCGCGAGGAACTAGGACCGACATGCCGGGTCGATTCTCTCCGCGTAAGCTATACGTGGTGTAGTGGTATGGTTTCCCTGGGACAAAAGCTTCTGTGCTCTATCTTGGGTGATGAAATGCCGACTTGACAAACACAGCCTACTCAGTTCGCCGAAGAAATCCATGGCTGCGGTAACATCGAGGACAGTGCAAAGCGATTTAAAGAGATGGAGAACGACGGAGAGGATTGGCGGTACAGCAAAGCAAGACAAGGTGAAATTTACTGCCATTTGGTTAGGTACAAAAACGGAGCTGCTTGTGAGGTTTGGCTGAGTGGCGGGAGTGATTTTACCGAGAGGTATGTCCAAGGGCTTTGTGTCCACTGCGCATCGTACCTGGTCTCGAGGATTGGTTCGGTCGAAATGTGAGGTGAGGAAAACGGTTACTGTTCAGTTCATACTTGGAAGTTGCAATTCAGTTAGGACCGTTACCTGACGCTGTCGGCGTTAGTGCATCGAAAACACTTATTGCAGAGTCAGACTTAAACATTCCATTTCAATAAAAGTGTACATAATTACACGCAATAAAAAACAACAAGCAATCTTATGCACTAACAGCCGGCTTGAACCTAAGCTCTGCTGGCAAAACGGCGAGAACGTCGGTGGGGAGAGTTAAGAAAGTGTCCAGGAAAGCGTCATTGACAGGAGGCACACGTGCTACTCCCACAAGGGTACATTTCCCAGAAGCGTCAAGCCGTGAGCCTTTTGCCGAGCGCATAGGCCCAGAAGAGCTTTCGGTGGTTAAAATTGTTTCTACTGTAAGTGGTGGTGCAGAGTAGATGGGTCCTGCTGTGAAGAAGAATTTAGAGATGAAAGTAAGCTCCACCTGAAAGAGGGGTGCGTGGAATACGGAGGTACGATAAGGGAAAGGAGAGGAAGAGAATGTGAAGTTAAAACTGCTCATGTTGATAATCCCCATTCTTTTATGCAGTGCAGACCTATCCTCACACGAAAATCCATCTTGCTTCCCTAAGCCAAACCCAACTCCTGTGTTATACCCCCCACACCCCCAAAGCAACAACCTTTCCCATTCCCTCCCTTCTCCCCTCCTATTTGCTTGAGAAGCCATCTGCCTTTATTACACCCCCCCTCCCTTCATAACACCAAACCCCCCTCTCCCTTCATTACAATCCTCATCTCTCAATCCATTCACCTCCACAACAATACAGCACCTATAGACCCAGTTAAAAAAACAAAAAACGACGAGAGCAAAAAAATACTTGAACCTTTGAGCTGACCCCTTGGGAGATTACAAACGAACTCTGGGGACATCTCCGGGCTTCCAGTGCCCACCTTGCCAGTCGACCGCTCGAGGTAGCCCCTTAGCGCCTCGGGAGAGATCTCAATCTTAAGCGGCGGGGGAAGCGGAAGCCCCAGGAACCGCGTCGTATCGTACTGCAACGGGGGGATGTTTAGCGTCTCGGGGTTGAAAACTATCTCAACGCGATCCGACCCGTCGTTTACATCCGTCGCGGTTCCCGAGCCGCCTCCCCCCCTGACGCCGCTAGGACTGTAGGTAAAATCGGGGTAGATCGCGACTCCAAGACCGCAGTTATCGCCGATTTGAATCTCCACCGTGGATCCCGGAGGGCATGGGGGAATTACGGCAGGGCCTAGGGAGAGTGACGTGGAATCTGGGGAAGCTGACGTGGAAGGCGGTGCGAATAAAGAAGCGGTAAGTGCGGCGGATGAGAACGCCACGAGAGAACGTCGCGAGAGGAGGCCATCCGCTACTAGCGGCTCTGGCACGGTGAAATCTGAGCCGTCCAAGCTAACTTGCTCCGGGATTGAGAGTGAAGATGGATGTAAGTCGGAAGCTTCATCAGCGATAGGGAGGATCGTTCGCGCTCGAGCTTGCACATAAATCGTCCGAATTGGCTTTGCGACATGCGCTGCGAAATGCACTGGAATGCGTGGCGAGACTCCAGTGATCCGAAGCCGGCGAATATTACAAGGCGAATCCCGCCGCGCTAAGCGGCACGGGATGGTCGCGCTGGCTGCGGTGCTGCCGCCGCTGATTGCGGCAAGCTGGGAATGCGCGATCATGGGGAGGATGGCTGACGTGGCAGGGCGGAAATGGACAGCCAAATAATTTTGGATGTGGCAAGTGAATGGGTGGTGAGTTCGAGGAGATTATCCTCGGTATACGGATGAAAGACTTCCAATAGGAAGTTGAAGTGTTTGTTGTAAATTCCACCTTACAAAGTCTCACCCGCAGCAGCTTGAAATACATTTCCCGGACAAATGCCATTGAGATCACTGGCATTGCAAGAACAGTACTAGATCAATACTAGAAGCACGAGGTATGCTTTGTAGTCTACCATATCAAATCAACGATTCCAGAACCTCCTAGCGAGACACAAACTCGGTATGGCGCCTCAAATGTTATTGAAAGTGAGGTCAAATAGTGGTCGGATTGGCCCAACCATTGCACCTCACCCCAGTACCAGTTACCACCGCTTTTGACCCCTCTCAGTCCTCCTCGCCTTGTTTCTTCCATACCCGGTGACTACCTTTCAACGAAGATGTTTCCCCTTCACGAAGGCAGTTGAATGTGAGTCAAGGTCTGACGACCACTCATCACCGCATCAAATCCCACTCGACCCTCTTCAATGCGTTTCCTCTGTGAACGGAGACCTTCCCGCTCATGATGAAGTGTCAGAGGCAGGGGAATGTGAGGCCAGAACAGACGAGGGGCTCCACCGACGGCCAGGATGAAGCACCTTCTCTGAAGGCAATGACCCAGTTAATATCAACGGTGGTTGGAACACTAGCGGCGGAAGTGCTTGTACCGAGGCGGCTGATAAAGGGGATTGCAGTGGGGCAAGCGGTGACAGCGGGCGCTGGGGCTGCAGGCGCAGAGAAACCGGAATTTCCTCCCACCCTGCAACTTCGCCTCCTTCCTCTTCTATCACGCTGACGACCTCACAGTCCTGTGCTCTTGCCTGCACCAGCAGCATATCCTTCAGCCCTGCTGACGTCACAGCTCCTCCTGTTGCAGTTGCAGTCACAGCTGCAGGCATAGCCGTCCCATCTCCCTCCATCCAGCTTTGAACCTCTGAGATTTGGCTCTCTGAGCTTTCCCCTAGTGTGTGCAGCTGCAGAGCGGAGAGGCAGGAGCAGAGGAGCGAGCCAAGGGCGTGCAGGTCGACAGAACACGCGAATGGTTCCCTGTGACGCTTCTTTGCAGCAGCAGCATGCGGCATTCCTGACGTTCCAGGACTCGATAAGAGACGCTCCTGTACAGGCAGCAGTTGTGCAGAAGGCAGGAACGGACAGAAAGAAGTTTTCATTCATCTCGCATATACAACAGCATCAACGATCTAAGCGAAAAAAAGCAGGGAAGAGGCTCAAACTAACGCTAGAACAATTGCTAGTGTGCTTACAATAACAAGACGCTATTTCTGAAGTCTCTCGTCTCAAGAAAGAGAAGGAGCAAACGAGGTGGTGCTTGAGGCGCCCTGGAAGGGGCTCATCCCCGATATAAGTCTTGACAAGGGGCGCCTCAAGAACCACCTCACCCGCGTGCAGCGGCGGTCACGCTATGAACATCTGAGCCGGAAATAGTTTGCCAAATTAGCGGCAGATGCGCATGCTCAAGCAGCGGTATTCGATTGAGGAGACGAAGTCCGGTCAGGGCTTCACAGTGCAGGTGGTAACGGAGTCTTTGACGTGCTCTGTAACGGATCAAGCTATAGCGATGGCAACCGAACCGACCTGAAGTGACGTGTGAGCTGTGGCGCTTCCCACGTCAGCACAGAATAATCCAGCAGCGGAGGCAGGAGCGCCAGCTGCAGCAGCAGCGCCAAGCGACGATATATCGATGCGAAGCTCCGCAGACGACACCTGCGACGATGTTTCGCAGCAGGCGCCACTCGGTCGCACAGCTGTCGCCGTCGTCGCATTCTCTTCGTTTCCCAGCCACGCCCTAAACGAAGGTTGATTCGCAGAGACGGGTAACAGCTTGCGCGATCTCGCCGCCTTGCCGTCCACTGGAACGAGCACGTTCGATGCGGAGAGTGGCAGCGGCAGCGGCGGTGGCAGCGTGCCGTTGAGCTCTTTAAGCGGCTGCAACGGAGAGGCGCGAACGACAGGCGCGGGAGCAGTGTTGATCGCCGTATTAGCAGTGTTAGGCGCGGGCGCGGTACTAGCAGTGAGGACTAGAAGTGGTTCCGACAGAGCAACGTGAGTGACGGGCGCGGCGGGAGCAGACGCGCGTCGGGGAGGGGGCGTCGGGGGAAGGTCAAAGAACATATAGTCCCAAACCCTCCGCCTGCGCGGGCGCACGGGGGGACCGGCGGGACGATCCGCAGCTAGGCGTTCCGCCCGCTCCGCGTTCTTCTTCCGGTTGTAGCGCTCAATCTCCCGCATCAGCGCGACAGGGGTGGGGGTGAGCGGAGCCGGAACGATCGGCGGAATGACGAGTAGCGGGGGACGCGAAAGGCGCCCGATGGGGGGACTGGGGTTGGGGATCGGCGGAGGAGGCTCGTAGAGATCGCGCTGCGAATAGCCGCCATAGCCCCAGAACTGCTGCTGCAGCCTCGTGTCCATGTACATGCCAGTGGCCATTATGTGTACTTCTGTTGCGGCTGTACTGTTCGTCTGACTGACGATCACTCGTCGAATTGACGGAACGTAGACGGGGAGTCGCTTCACGGGAAAGTGGAGTGACGACGTCGTTTGAAGGAATTATGGTGGGCTTGTGATAGGTCACTCAAATGCCACTAAATGCCTGGCTTATCCGTACGCTTACTGGGAAAGTAAGAGAAAAGCAGTCTTCCCACGAGCAAGCCTGCCTGTAGTTAAAGTATGGACTCGGAACTCAGAAGCTTTTCCTGTAGCTAGGTTGCAGTTTCTCGTCCGTATATATTACCCAGGACTTGACACTGGAACTTCAGAGCTAAGCTAAATCGATGCTCAAAGATCGATGTGCGTTTCTCGATGTCTGTTCGTCAAACTCCAATGGTTCCTCTCCCGCCAATTCTTCCTAGAGATATACGCGCCCAGTAAAATTCTTGCACTCCTACCCATTCCCAAGGTGGCATGAAGAATGTCTTGCCTGGTGGTTTTCACCGCTCAACACCTATCTAATTCGATAATATACTCTAGTACCATATTTAACCGCACTATGACGTAACATTCTTGTCCAGTTGACCCCCCTCCCCTCCATGTGATCGTTTCGCGTCGCGCTTCCATCTCGTCACCATAGTCCATCCTCGAGGGCGCAGGAGGTGGCGCCGCTCCGTCAAGTTCGGTTCTATTGAGGCGGCGAAGAAATGGATGGGCTAGCTGACGGCTGGAACCGACAGGCGTCAGCGAACAGTCACGCTGTGCGACGAATGTCCACTGTACTGAACTGGAAAGGAAATCGTCATTCGTCCGATTGTACCCATCTGCGGCTTTGACTGAAGTCGGTGGGTCGCAATGGGAGTGGCTGGGCGTCGTACAGATGGACAACGCATCATGTGCGCGCAACGTGCGAAGGGAGCCAAGTCGCGTTCAGCATGGCGCATCGTGTCGTATGTGACAGCCTAGCCCCTCCGCAAACGCGCCTCGATCTGCACCGGACGGGAACCACGTGTTGTGACGGTGGATGCCTAAAATCGCGCACTATTGGGGCATTGAAGTTGAATGTAACCACACCCAAACCACGTGCCATAAAATTGTCCTGAAACAACAGATCGACGATGTTGTACGAAAACATCGCCCCCAATCATGTGCATGTTACACAGCTTCCTCGCCGTCGTTTTGAACGTTCAACCTTGTAAAGTCGATCGCATATTGTCCACCCTGGCATTCAAGCGACGTCCCCATTCATCCTCGTTTACGTGGCAGCCCCAAACACGTGTTCTGTGCACCATTGTTGGGGGAAACTTCGATTGTCGGCACTAACCCATATGTTAAAGCCCAAGACCCGAATTACAAAAAACGAGGGCAAACTGTGCACAGTTTGCCTCCTACAGCCCACAGTTTTGCCCCGCGTTGACTTGCGTTGAGCAATTCAGGTCTTGGGCTTTAAGAGTAATTGGACTCTAGTTTTTAAACCCTAACCCATATTAAAAAACTAGTGTCCAAATACATTCTACAACTAGAGCTGGGTTAACTCTATTATTCACAAGGGCCACAAATACAAAGTTCTGCTATGCGAAATCTTCTAGTGCTACTGAAGATGCTGAGGTGGCATCCTTCTAATCCTGCATCTGCAAACCCCATAATCTACTCCAGAATCGTTAGATCCACATCGGTTGCTCTATTATTTCCGGCATACACTACCTATGCTGATGCTCCATCTTAATCAATGGCTGCTCCTGCTACTCCCGATGGCTTCCTGCCGCATGGTCTATCTGCACAACTGCTGGGCATGTGCTTCGGAGCTTGAAGCAGCTGGTTGGGGAACTCCAACGAGATGGTGAGAATTCTAACCGATAGAATGCCTTTACACACAGCTGATATGGGCATCAGCTTATCACTTTCGGTGAGTTTTACGCAACGGCTTTGGCTGGCTCAGGAACGAGATACTTGGAAACAAACTCACGGGCAAAGAGCGAGGGGTTGATGATGCCCTGCAAATGGATGGAGAAAGTATATTCATACACATGATGGGGAAATCATATTACCAGACACACGTGGTTGAAGGAACGAATTTTGGACACAGGTCAATGCAGACATGATGTTATCAGGCACACATGGATAAAACATCACATCATCACAATGTGTGCACACATGCACACATGCAGGTATGGATGCCACTGGCTGTGAATAGACAGGGTGAGTGCAGGGTAAAGAATAGTCACACAGAAATGACCATGGAAGCTCAAACTGGCAAAACAGGAAGCTACAGTGTAAGCAGATGGCAAGCAGGTTCAATGCATTCAATTGTCACAATACATTATTCACGTTACTTTTGCTAGGAATCTTACATGAGAGCCAGGCATGGTGGTGAAATGCAGCTTTTTCTTCTCGTGCAGGGTCCGCAACCCCAGCCAATCCTCTGCAAACATCGGCTGCTCTTGTAGCGGGAGAAGATTCCCGAAGCGGTCGTGCGACCAGAACCACTGCCGGACCAGAATTGGGGATGGCGGGGAGTTGGGGGAGGGGAGTTTGGGGGAGGGCGGGACATTGGGTGAAGGGGGGAAGTTGAAAGAGGGAGGAAAGGGGGAAGGCCGGGATGGGGTTGAGGAAAGAGTTAGTGTAGGGGGGATGGCGGGAGAGGGGGATAGAGGGACGCTAAATGCGCGCATGGAAAAGGGCTAGATGTTCCCGCGCTACAAAGCAATACGAAGGGACATGTAACGCACCGATGATTGGGGAGGCGAGATCATCGTTTCATCTTGCCATCGCACCAGTACGAGCCGTTCCAAGCTCCGCACGTTCGCAGCGTACGTCTCATTCCGTCTCGTCGGGCCGCGCTCGTTGTTGATATCCGCGAGAAACGCGCTCCGCTGCAAGTACCGATCCATGTGTCGCCAAAGCCGAAAGTACTGCGCGGGCATGAATAACTTTTGTACCCAGGGCAGGTAAATTCGGTGCATATGCGGTTTTAAAAGTGTACAAAAGTCTATAGCCGTTCCTAGGCCACTAAGCACCGCCCAAGTCACGCTTCCTGCAATCTCGCTGCTTCCAGCGAAGCTTCCGCCGCTGATGCCGCCGCTAAAGCTAATTAGACCGCTGCTGAAGCCGCTTAGACTATTTGAGCCGCTGCTGAGTCCGCTGAACCCGCCGCTAAAGCCGCTAAGGCCGTTGCTGCTAGCTGCAAGCACTCTCAACGCCGACACGCCAACGCCTCCTAAAGTACTAAGCCCGCCTGATTCCTCCCCCTCCTCCTCCTGCCACGTGCTTTCCCCCTCCCAGTCCGCTGCCACGCTGGCGCTACACGTGGCGTTCGCCGCCACGTCATCATCATCCCCATCCCGCATACACCCCGGGAGATTTATATCCTCCTGATTCTCCCGTTTAGTCTCCGCTTCAATTTCCCTGCTCGGGCCGCAGTAAGGCAGCGCCGCCATGCCCGCGTGGGGGGAACCGAGCGTGATGAGCGTGCGCACGGGGGGAGAGTTGCAGCGCTGCACGTACGCGCGGAAGAGCAGCCCGCCCTGGCTGATGCCGATGGCGTTGAATCCCCCCGCCAGCTGCGGAATGGCCGCGAGGGACGCGCAGACCTCGTCGATCTGGGAGGCGACAAAAAGAGAGAGAGGGAGTATGTGGAGAGAGGCAAGGATGCCGGGGGGGTGTGTTAGAGGGGGGAGGATGGGGGGACGATAGCGGGGATGAGTGGGAGGAGTGGGGGCTGAAGAGTGGGGGAAGGAGCAGGTGGGGAGGAGCTATGCATGTATGACCTTTACCGCGTACTATTTCCGCCTGTTTTCCGGAAGTTAATTTTGGAAAGTTTTTGTTAATTTATCTGTTTGACTGTTTGGGACCAGCATTATTGAACCCAAATACTACTCGCTCCGGCTATGTTGTTTGCACGTCGCTACCTGCTGGTCGATCGAGCCGAAGATGGAGGAGCTTATATCGCGTACGCCCTCCTCCTTGACGCATATCGAGTGGAAGAACACGTCTGGAAGCACGCTCCGCACGGCGGCGCGCAGATAGCCCACGCTCTTGTCGTTGCTGCACGAGTCGAAGAACCCGTGCCACACCACCACGGGGAGCGCGGAAGCAGACGCGGAGGCGGAGGCGGAGGCGGAGGCGGAGGCGGAGGCGGCGGAAACGGGCGCGCACGAGCCCCTCCCCGCAAAGGAACCGTTTCCCGCGAACGAGCCGATGCCCGCGGAAGGGCTGTTGCGCTCGGGGGGAGCATGATCGAGGGAGCTACGCGCATCGAGTGGAGTCCGCGCGTTGACCGCCGGCTCGGTAGCGTCTATATGCTCGGCAGCCTCGAGAGCATCCAACGACTCATTAGCTCGCGCGAGACCGAGGAACGCGGAGGAGGCGAGGTGGAGGTGTAGGAGGAGGAGGAGCGAGGCGGCGCGTCTTAACGGCCGGAGGAGTGCTCTCGCATGCAGTGACGTGGCGTGCTCTCCCATTCTCACGTGGGCGTGGAGGCTAGAACGCATACGACTGGGTCTGCGTAAGGGGTCTGCTTGAATAGGTCTGCTGGAAACCAATCGGGGACGATCCACGTCAGCGCCTATTACTCTATTTTCTCGACTTTCCAAATCCCATCACAGCTCGCACACCCCTTAATTGCAAGAACAGGGTCCCATCGCTTCAGGCTATCAGGCTGCTTTTGAGGCGCTTCTAAAGGTATTGAAAGTTGGAACGGGGGTTGGGATAAAACTCGCGGGAGGGCATGGCTTCAAGTTACGAGAGGAGCGGAATGATGAGGAGTAACAACGTTGGTGCAAGGTGAATGCGAGAGGTACTGATCACTGAAGCGAGAAAAAAAGCGGCTAGGGCAGAACTGTAAAACAGGGTGCAGATAACGCTTATGCTTCTTGACAGGTAACATTGTATTGCTCCCACACCGCACCGCGCATCATGTCATGCGATCAGGCCCAGCCCACACGCGTTCCAGCCCTGGGAATTGACGACTGCTTGCTGGTCGATGGAAAGGGAGCTGAGATGAGAAATTAGGGATGATTCTAGATCGAGTTGACTCTAACATCTCGTATCGAAGGGACTGGCGGCTGGGCGACGGGTTGCCGAGTCGCCAAAACTACACGTCAGCATAGTGGGGAGGACGCCACGAGCAGGGAGGGAGGGAGCGAGGCTGGAACGAGTGCGCGACAGGGGTCCATGGAATGGAATGGAATGCAAAGCAAACTGACTGGAAGAAGGGCCCGAAGGCATGAATCACATGAATCACATGGCTCTCGCATGGGCGCTTCACACGGTGTGGCGGATGGGATGCAGCGAAGGGGCGAATGGTAGTCATAGTTGGGTTCCAGCTGAGTGAGCTAGTGGTTGTGCTCTCTTCTCTTGGAACAACAAGCAATATCCGGCCGTGGGTTGTAAAATACGGTTCAGAGGTCTGTTTTGCGTTTATATCGTATCTTAATTAGATCTTCAAGCGGTTCAGTCGGTCAAAATTGAACCTGTTTCGACACGCCTTGGAAAGCGAAGGGGACCGTGCTTGCTGGACATTGTCACATGTCGGGCAGGCCAACCAAGCCGCACCTGCCTCGACTTGCCCGGCCAATTTTCACCTGTCCTTGTCCTCGCGACTACTCTTACGAAAATTTTCTTCTAGCACCCCAAGTTTTCCCTTCAGCCCTCGTAAAACTTTCCACCAGGCCTTTTTCGATACCAAACCAACCAACCAACTTCTCGCCCCTCCCACCAAACGACGAGCCTCGGATTTTGCTTCGACACGTCGCGATGTGTCCAGTAGTAACGCTGCCGAGCCATCCTTCAGACCGCGCCGATAGCCGAGGGCCGGACCATCAAGCGTAACGGCGCCAGCAAAGCCTCGCTTCATTGGGCGATCATATCTGGGACCTGATCGCAACCAGGCGATCCCAGCGATGAGCCGTTCGATGAGGTCAATTTTCTGAAAGCTGACAGTTGTGGAAGCGCATATGTGGGAACAATTTTCAAATGACGTGGAAGCTCGACACAAGAGCCCGTTTCGATTTAGTCATACCCGTAGTCGTGGCTTCACTGGATAACAAAATTCGGTGGAAGCACAGTGGAGCCGCCAGTGACAAAATCGAGCGGCTGAAATTCTGAAGCAGCATGTTCAACTCATTGCCTCGCCCTTTACAATAATCATTTTAAAATGATTATTCGCAGAGACATGGCTACCGTACAGCATCACTTCCACTCGACCCTATGACAACATATACTATTTTTCCCTATCTTTCTCAGTTTATATGTTGATATCTATTGAACTGGTATACTCTGTTCTCAGCTTGCTTTTTTGTGTTTCATATTCCGAGAATATCATAAATCCTAGCATATATAACTATATCAAATTATGTTCTACGGATTGAACTTTGCATCTTCCGTCTCGAGTGCTCCACATATTTCCAATTCATAAAATCCTAACATCAGGTATCACTAGATCAAGGGGCGGTTTACACCTTGAACTCAACAATTTCCTTCTCAGGCGCTCCAGGAAATTTCTGCACGAATCATGACAGGACAAGGTATGAGCAGAGTTCTGGGGTGGGAAGGAACGACTCATAGGCAAAGCGCGCATTTTGCAGTGGCATTGATAGGGAGTGTGTTCGTAGGATGTGCGAGGAGGGGAGATGGGGAATGAAATTACGAAGAACTTTGAGAAGTATTGCCACACCCACCTTTTGTGCGTCAATGGCAGAGAAGACCTTCCCCTCCGCCTTCTCCTCAAAGAGAATGCGCAAAATCTGATGGTGGGGTGGTGGGCACAGGTACAAGGAGGGATGTTGCAGTGATGGGCAGATGTGCAGGGACGGATGTAAGGGAGACTGGTGAACAATGTGACTCATTGGGATTGATTGAGTAGGGCATGGGTAGTGTTTTGTCGACTCAAAACACGACTGGGCACATGTGCAGAGACGGATATAAGGGAGACTGGTGAACAATGTGACTCATTGGGATTGATTGAGTTGGGCATGGGTGGGACTACATATAAACCTCATTCATCCTCGGGCAAGACATGGTTGAGTTCAGCAGCCAGGTGGCGATTCGCGGGCTGCGCCACATCAGCAGGGAGGTGAGGTGACTCACCAGTTGTGCCACGTCAGCAGGGAGGTGAGGTGACTCACCAGTTGTGCCACGTCAGCACGGGAGATGACCCCCACCACGCTGCTGTCCTCTGTGAGAATGCCCGAGCCACTGGCACCCTGTATGAGAGGGTTGTGTGGGCGAGGGTGGGAGATGGGGGGAAAGAGGGAAAGGGTGGGAGGTGGTGGTTGGTGAAAGAGAGGGATGCATGGTGTGTAGAGAAAGTAACAACATGCTTACATCTGTCAACAGCCCCCATAGTCACAGCCATGCACCGCTCCCCTCGCCCCCTACATCAAACAGCCAGCTAACATCTGACCTCTCTCTTTGTTCCTCACATCTGACAGCAGCCCCCCAGGGTGAACAATCGTCCACTTGAGCTTCTCGTTCACCTTCAGCCACTCCTCGCTCTTCTCCTCCTCTGCCAGCTGGCCTACGTCCCAAAGCAGGCTTACACCTCACCTCCCTCCCTCCCCGCCCCTTACATCTGAGAGCAGGCCTCCTGGGCGAACGATGGTCCACTTGAGCTTATCGCTCACCTTCAGCCGCTCCTCGCTCTTCTCCTTCCCTTCATAAACCCATCTCTCCCCTGAAACAAAAACTAATGTCCGTCCCCTCACCATTGACAGCAGGCTTACATCTGACAGCAGCCCTCCTGGGCGCACGATGGTCCACTTGAGCTTATCGCTCGCCTTGAGTCGCTCCTCGCTCTTCTCCTTCTCTGCCAGCACCGGCCCCAACACATCCATCTCCTTGCCTGGGACGGCTGCCTTGCTGTCGCCTGCGCCTATGCTGGATACCTGGGATAGCACCCGGGCGAGCAGAAGGGAAGAGGAGATAGGATGGGGTGGGTTCCTCCTCGCTCTTCTCCTTCTCTGCCAGCACCGGCCCCAACACGTCCATCTCCTTGCCCGGTACTGCTGCCTTGCTGTCGCCTGCTCCTATGCTGGATACCTGGGGGGGCATATGGAAGAGAAGGAGAGGAAGAGAAGCGAAGAGGGAGAGGCGATGGGTTTGAGCCGCTCCTCACTCTTCTCCTTCTCTGCCAACACTGGCCCCCCAGCACGTCCAACACCTTGCTCCTATGTAATCACCTGCCCTACAATCACCTGCCCTGCAATCACCTGCCCTGCAATCACCTGCCCTGCAATCACCTGCCCTGCAATCACCTGCCCTGCAATCACCTGCCCTGCAATCACCTGCCCACAATGACGACTCTTCCCTCTCCCTACTTTTCCGGCCCACTCTACCAATCCCCCCCTCCTTTTCTCCTCGTCTCAAATCAACAACTTGCGAAAATGAAACCGAGGGACTCCCACACCCCCTCCCACCCCTCCCCCTTCCCGCAAACCCCACACCCCCTCCCACCCCTCCCCCTTCCCGCAAACCCCACACCCCCTCCCACCCCTCCCCCTTCCCGCAAACCCCACCCCCCCAGCCCCCTCCTCCCACCCTCCTTCCCTCCTCTCCCACCTCTTCCCTCCATCTCTCCCTTCCATCCCACCTCCCTACCTCCTTCTCCCCTCCCCTCCAGCAAACCAGCTCACAAGGAGGAAGCGAGGAACACCCCTCCTCCCTCCTCCCTCCACCCTCCCTCCCTCCTTTTCCCCTCTCCTCCAGCAAACCAGCTCACAAGGAGGAAGCGAGGAACACCCCTCCTCCCTCCTCCCTCCACCCTCCCTCCCTCCTTTTCCCCTCCCCTCCAACCAACCAACTCACAAGGAGGAAGCGAGGAACACCCCTCCTCCCTCCTCCCTCCACCCTCCCTCCCTCCTTTTCCCCTCCCCTCCAACCAACCAACTCACAAGGAGGAAGCGAGGAACACCAGCCTTCTCTGCTGCTGCAATGACGTTGATGTTACCGTCCTGTTGACGGTTGGGGAAAGGAGGTAGAAGAGAGAGAGAGAGAGAGAGAGGCAGCGAATAAAGCGGGAGAAAGGAAGGCAAGGAGGAGGAGCAAAGGACGGGCGATAACGGAGCTGCAATACATCTCTTGAAAAATCCCAGTAACTCAACTCTGTAATCATCTAAACTGTAATGCATCCCATGTAAAGATTGCAGCGCATGTCACTTACCGAATCCACGTTGATGTCAGTAAGTCCCCCTCCTGCACCGACGACTTTTGAGGCGCCTCAAAAGTCATGGCAGTCGCGCATTGCGGTAACCCGATTTATACCGGTATAAATGCATCTCACTTACCGAATCCACCTTGATGTCAGTAAGTCCCCCTCCTGCACAGACACACATATAGTAACACACACACACACACACACACACACACGAACACATGAATATAGTGAGTCACACATAGTGCCACACACACACACACACACACACACACACACACACACACACACACACACTCACAGCCACATTCACGCACACACATACGCCCACTCCCTTGTGACTCTCACCAACGGTGGAGACAACAGCGTCAAAGGTGTTCCCCCTTAGCGCCTTCTCAATGGTGCCGGGCGCCATGACGTCCCCAATGGCCAGCATGGCTCCCAGCCCCTCAATCCTGAGCAGCATGGCACACACACTCCCTCAAGACTCTCACCTACGGTGGAGACAACAGCATCAAAGGTGTTTCCTCTGAGCGCCTTCTCAATCCTGTCAGGAGCCATCACATCACATCCCCAATGGCCAGCATGGCCCCCAGCCCCTCAATCTCCTTGCGGATCTTCTCCCCCCTCTGCAGGGCATGGCACACACACACTCACCAACAGTAGACACGACAGCATCAAAGGTGTTTCCCCTTAGCGCCTTCTCAATCGTGCCGGGCGCCATGACATCACCAATGGCCAGCATGGCTCCCAGCCCCTCAATCTCCTTGCGGAACTTCTCCCCCCTCTGCAGCGCTGTCACCCACGACCCTGCCTTGGCCAGCTGACGCACCACCTCCATTCCCACTCCGCCACCACCCACCACGAGCACTGCATGTAGACGAGGCATAGTGGGACGAGTGGGTGGGAGATGGGATAATTACATTCAGACACTATCCCCACTCCCCCCTCTGAAGCGCTGTGACCCACGAGCCTGCCTTGGCCAGCTGACGCACCACCTCCATTCCCACTCCACCGCCGCCCACCACGAGCACTGTGCGGGGCGAAATGGGAGGAACGAGAGTGTGGGAGACGGGATAATACCTTCTCTGTAAAAGGTTGATAGAGAATGTATCTGCTTAATCCGTTCCTTAATCTCTCATTCGTCACCTCGCGTTCCTCATCTCAGTGTAAGTGGACTCAAAACACATCTTTGCATTTCTCCGTTCTTTCCTCTCACTGACTCCCTCATCGCCACCATTCGATAATTCACTCGCTTTTCTCCCTCTTGCATCGCCCATCCCTTTTACCCGAAACCCTCCCTCTGGCTAAACAATACCATTCAGAACCAAATTATCCAGCTCTCACAGGTCGAGTTGTCAATCGTCACGGGCACCTCCTTCTCACGTCACAGGCCTTCCCTCCTTCTCCCCTTCCCCCTCCCTCCCCCTTTCCCATCCGCCCATTGGTACCCTAAACCCGTCCTACCCTGATCACTCCCTCTGGTCACTGTTCAACACCAGACACGAGTACCCGAATCTCACCGTTCGAGTTGTCAATGGTCACCGGCTCTTCTGCCTTCCCCTCCTTCCCTTCCATCGTACCATACACACCCTCTGGTTACCATGTAACAATAGGCCCGACTATTCGGATCTCACCGTTCGAGTTGTCAATGGTCACCGGCTCCTCTGCCTCCGCGGACGCACGTGGCGCCACTCCATTGGCTCTCCTCGCGACACCGCGTCGTGACGTGCTCGCGTTGCGAGACACGGGGCTGCTGGCTGTGCCCGGGGCAGGAGGCGGGGCAGGCGGAAGAGGCGGAAGCGGAGGAGGCGGACGGAAGGGGAGCAGGCGGAAGAGGCGAAGGCGGAGGGAGGTGGAGGGGACGGAGAAGGCGGACGAGGCGGAGGAAGTAAGGGGGAGGGGAGAAAGGTAGGGAGGGGGCGAAAGTAGGGAAAGGGTGGGTGGAAGGGGAAGCAGGGCGGGGAGAAGCAGGGGCAAGCGGAAACAGGGAGGGGACAGAAGCAAAAAGGCGTTAGAGCCAACAGTGGCGCGCGTGAGGCATCACGGAAAGAGAGGGGTAGATACGATCGCATGGCCACGTGACAGCATCACCGCATGACCGCATGGCCATGTCGACACATGGTCGCGTAAACGCATAACCACTTAACACACGGCCACGTAAACGAATGGTCACGTGGACACATGGCCTCTGCAGAGGAATGGCTAGGATGAACGAACTGACGAGCCACCGGCAACCTCAAGGGGATAAGAAACGCCAAGGTAGTCAGGAAAACGGACTCACCGGAGAGACCAGCGACTCTGGAGGGGAAAAGAGCCGCTGCTGAGGAGATTCGTTCGGCACGAACGCTGCCATTGCCTGCGAAGGAGCAGCGGAGAAATTGAAGGGAGTCTTATTTTCCAAGAACGACCAAAACATTGGAGGGAGTCTTATTTTCGTGCCCAGTGCGGGTGGAATCGTTATACATCTAACTAGATACGGAAGATGCACGTGCCAGAGCCGAACGTGTATGAATAAGGTGCGAGGATTCTAGAACGGCGACATCTCCTCATGTTCCTACTTTTAATACAATAGTATACTAAACAGCTGAGACCGGGAAACGGATACGCGAATCTTGTGCATGGACAGGCTCCATAGACCAGAGCAATCGGACTTGCCATCTAGCATTGTCTTACTTTGAAGCGCAACGGCGGCCTGAGCAACGGACGCGGAGAGCGTTGAAGCGGCCATTTGTCAGATTAGGACAGAACCTCGAAATGGTCCTGAATGTGTGGAGGATGAGAGGAGTACCTTCAGAAAAGCTAGCCTCTCAAAATAGATTCTGAAGGCATAAACCAGTGAGGTATTTCTCTGAGGAATGTAAGGCTGGTCAGAAAGCTGAAGATGGAATGAGTAGTGAGTGTGAAGAGAAGGTATTCCAGAACGTTTGTACTAAAACGTACCGATTTCGGGTTCTTTTGAAGTGTGAATCTAGTGATCCGAACCGAAATCGAAGAACTGTGAAGCACTTGGCCTCCTTTGGTGACAGGTCTTTCCGGCAAAGCCCGAGCCCCTACGATTTGCTCAATAAACGCAACCTCGGCACAACCATGAAACGAAGTCTTCAAACAGGTGTCCGAATCCCTTGTGTGAGTACGCCCCTAAGATTTCGGAATAGAGTCAGCGACGAATCCGAGGCATTCAGGCATTCTCATCGGTGAAATACGAATGGAAGCGATGCTGGATTCCCCCGAGATCCACACGTCATACGATTCACACGTCAGCTCGCCTTTGATTGGCAGTCAATCCTGAACGACACGTCGCACCGGGGATAACGACCCACACCACAAATTGCTTGAACCCCGCGATAAACGCATTCGATTTCAGTACTACCTCTTTTCACAAATCTCCATTCTCAATTCTAAGTCAAGACAGTCAAAACATACTTTCTTGTTCAGAAACACACTATTGCTAAAAGGGTTTCTCCCCCCCAGCAGCCCATCTAACGAAATCTAGCTTTTTTTTCAGGCCGTCTCGGTGAAGCAATATATCTTTCTCAAAGCCCCGGCCACCTCCACAAGATATGGAGCCGGCAAGGAAGATACTTGACCGCGCACAAATCAGCTTGTCTAAAATGGCCACAATACCTGCCAGGACATTTCACACGAGGTGTCAAATGTAGCCACAATCGGACTGACTGGGTTGTGCAAAAGGAGAAGTTCGACGCACCTGGGTCGAGGTTGTTTGCCGATGGCATAAGCTCGTCAATCATGACCGTCCCTTTGACTTTCTCTCGCAACCAGGACAGCCAATAGTGAGGCACGTCCGACACATTGTTATCTCCAAAAGCCCATTTCAGCGCATCCCACGACTCCGACCGAGGTGTAACACCAGACTGATTGTACGGAATATCGGCTGCCAGGAAAACGGTCGATGCGTTGTGCCTCTTTTTCACTTTATTTATTTTCTGGGCAGCTTCTTTGGTGCACCACCTGGTGCGATCCTTGAGAATCTTCAGCCTCTCTTCGACTGGGATGTCGGTTCTGTTCTCACCTGCCTGGTGATGGTGATGGTGATGGTGATGGTGATGGTGATGGGGATGGGGATGGGGATGGGGATGGGGATGGGGATGGTGATAGTGATGGGGATGGGGATGGTGATGGTGATGGTGATGGTGATAGTGATAGTGATAGTGATGGGGATGGGGATGGGGATGGTGATGGTGATGGTGATAGTGATAGTGATGGTGAGTGGATGCTGCAAGAGAACAAATTTCCAGAACGAAAAACAGTGACAGTAAGCCTTCCACAGGAAATAAAAACACAGACATACACAAAGAAGGTGGAACCAAGATCGTGGAAACTCTCCCTCTCAAGGGGAGACAAGGGAGGGAACAAGCTTCTGTAGCATCCGTACGTCTTTTGAGGCGCCCCAGAAGCGACACATGGGGAGCATACCAGTCTGAAGGCAACGAACTCGGAGCGGTACGGTAGTGCACTCCTATGAACGGCTTGGGCAGGCGGGCAGCATGGCAGGGGTAGTCTCACAGAGTGCCTCGAGTGCAGCATAGCATACCAGTCGGAAGGCAATGAACTCGGAGCGGTAGTGCACGCCAATGAATGGCTTGGGTTGTCTGGCATGGCCCCGCCTGACAGGGATAGTCTCTCAGTGTGACTTAAGTGCAGCACAGCATACCAGTCGGAAGGCAATGAACTCGGAGCGGTAGTGCACTCCAATGAAGGGCTTGGGCAGGCGCAGCATGGGCGGCTTCTATAAGTATAGACAGCCTCAGGCAGCATACCAGTCTGAAGGCAATGAACTCGGAGCGGTAGTGCACGCCAATGAACGGCTTGGGCAGGCGGGCCACGATGCGCTTGGCAGCGAGATGCCACTCGCGGGCATACGGCAGCAACACATGCCCCATGTCGTCCGTTTTGTCTCGCGCTCAAGGAAAGACAAGCGGGGGACCGGCTTTCTACTAGCAGGGGTACGGCTTTTGAGACGACTTTTGAGGCCCCTCAGAAGCCACAGATGGGGAACTTACCAGGCGGAAGGCAATGAACTCGGAGCGGTAGTGCACTCCTACGAACGGCTTGGGCAGGCGGGCAGCATGGGCGGCTGCTATAGCATAGACAGCCTCACAGAGTGACTCAAGTGCACCATACCAGCCTGAAGGCAATGAACTCGGAGCGGTAGTGCACGCCAATGAAGGGCTTGGGCAGGCGGGCAACGATGAAGAGCATGGGCAGCTTCTGAGGCGCCTCAAAAGCAACAGAGGTGCAGCACCGCATACCAGCCTGAAGGCAATGAACTCGGAGCGGTAGTGCACTCCTATGAACGGCTTGGGCAGGCGGGCCACGATGCGCTTGGCGGCGAGATGCCACTCTCGGGCATACGGCAGCAACACCACGTGTGACACAACACCTTGTCCGTCTCTCTCTCGAGGACAGACAAGGGCGGGAATGGGCTCCTACTAACAGAGGTACGGCTTTTGAGCGCCTCAAATGTGACAGATGGGAAGCAGCATACCAATCTGAAGGCAATGAACTCGGAGCGGTAGTGCACGCCAATGAACGGCTTGGGCAGGCGGGCCACGATGCGCTTGGCGGCGAGGTGCCACTCGCGGGCATACGGCAGCAACACATGCGCCATGTCGTCCGTTTCCCGATCGAAACGTTCATATGTGTTCTTGGCGTATATCACCACATCCCTGTGCTTCCTGCAAGGCGGAGGAGATGGAAGGGGGGAGGGAAGGAGGAGTGGAGGGAAGAAAGGGGGAAAGGGGGAAGGGAGGGCGATGGGGAGAGGGGAGACGAGAGACTAGGCCACTCGCGGGCATGCGGCAGCAGCACTGCATGCGCCTTGTCGCCCGTCTTGCTTTTGAGTCGACTCAAAAGCAGACTCATTACACGCGGTTTTGAGTCGACTCAAAAGCAGACTCATTACACGCGGTTTTGAGTCGACTCAAAAGCAGACTCATTACACGCGGTTTTGAGTCGACTCAAAAGCAGACTCATTACACGCGGTTTTGAGTCGACTCAAAAGCAGACTCATTACACGCGGTTTTGAGTCGACTCAAAAGCAGACGAGAAAGAGATTAGGCCACTCGCAGGCATGTGGCAGCACTGCATGCGCCTTGTCATCTGCCACTTGCGAGGTGCTACTCACGGGCATACGGCAGCACTGCATGCGCCTTGTCGCCCGTCTTGCTTTTGAGTCGACTCAAAAGCAGACTCATTACACGCGGTTTTGAGTCGACTCAAAAGCAGACGAGAAAGAGACTAGGCCACTCGTGGGCATAGGCCAGCAGCACTGCATGCGCCTTGTCGCCCGTCTTGCAATCAGAACGCTCGTACGTGTTCTTGGCGTATATCACCACGTCCCTGTGCTTTCTGGGGGGAGGAGGTGGGTAGGGGGAGGAGGCGGGTAGGGGGAGGAGGCGGGTAGGGGGAGGAGGCGGGTAGGGGGAGGAGAAAATGGGATGGTGGTAGGTGGGTGGGTGAGTGGCAGCACCATGTGTTGCGTGCTCGAAACACTCGTATGTGTTCTTGGCGTATATCACCACGTCCCTGTGCTTCCTGCAGAGGGGGGTAAAGTTTTGAGGCGCCTCAAAACGAGTCTAGTTTTGAGGCGCCTCAAAACTAGTGTTCTTGGCGTATATCACCACATCCCTGTGCTTTCTGCCGAGGGCGGTAGAGAAGAAGCAAGAGAAGAGAACGGCTCGTGGCAGACGTGCGTGGGAGGACAGACAGGTGTGTGTGGGAGGGCAGGCGTGTGTGGGAGGACAGGTGTGTAAGACATTGACTGTCTCCCGCTCACCATGCCCCACTCCAGCTCACCATGCATTCAGCAGGGATTGAATCTGGTCGAAGCGGGCAGGCATGTGCGGCCAGATGGTGTTGCCCCCGGTGGGTTCATGTCCCACGGTCCATGGCCCATGGGCAGCTCACAACGCCCCCCAAGCAGCTCACAACGCCCCCCAAGCAGCTCACAACGCCCCCCAAGCAGCTCACAACGCCCCCGCTCCCCACTCTAGCTCACCACGCATTGAGCAGCGACTGGATCTGGTCGAAGCGAGCAGGCATGTGCAGCCAGATGGTGTTGCCCCCGGTGGGCTGCGCACACACTGCCACGCCACCCACTTCCCCAAACCAGCTCACCACTCCCCACTCTAGCTCACCACGCATTGAGCAGGGATTGATTCTGGTCGAAGCGGGCAGGCATGTGCAGCCAGATGGTGTTGCCCCCGGTGGGCACGTGCCCCATGGCCCATGCCCCATGCCCCATGCCCCATGGCCCATGCCCCATGCCCCATGCCCCATGGCCCATGCCCCATGCCCCATGCCCCATGCCCCATGCCCCATGCCCCATGCCCCATGCCCCATGCCCCATGGCCCATGCCCCATGCCCCATGCCCCATGCCCCATGGCTGGCGCATTGCGACTGTAAACACTGCCCCCAGACACGAGTGTTCCCCTCCCCCACCAGCTCACCAGGCGTTGAGCAGCGACTGAATCTGGTCGAAGCGGGCAGGCATGTGCAGCCAAATGGTGTTGCCCCCGGTGGGTACATGCCCCATGGCCAGCGTGAACACTGCTCCCAGACTCCCTGCGATCTCGGCTGTTTGCGGGGCAAGGAAGCGGGCAAGAGGGGATGGTGGAGGAGAGTAAGAATGGTGGGGGAGCAACGGTGGGGAGCATTGATGGTGTTGCCCCCGGTGGGCACGTGTCCCATGGCCAGCGTGAACACTGCTCCCAGACTCCCCGCGATCTCCGCTGCTCATGGGGGGGTAATGGCGAGGGAACAGTGGCGGGGGAATGGTGTGAGGGGACAAAGGTGGGGGAACGAGGAGTGGTGTTGCCCCCGGTGGGCACGTGTCCCATAGCCAGTGTGAACACTGCTCCCAGACTCCCCGCGATCTCCGCTGCTCATGAAGGTGGGAGGAAGGGGCGGGAAGCAGTGGTGGGAAAGCAGGTGTTGCCCCCGGTGGGTACATGCCCCATGGCCAGTGTGAACACTGCCCCAAGGCTTCCTGCGATCTCCGCTGCTCATGGGTGAGGGGGTGAGGGGGTGCAGGAAGGGTGGGAAAGCAGTGGTGGGGATTGGAGGCAGTGTAATGTTGCCCCCGGTGGGTACATGCCCCATGGCCAGTGTGAACACCACCCCCAGACTCCCCGCGATCTCCGCTGCTCACGGGGCCACAATGGTCAACAAAGTGTACAGCACGGCACATATAGCAATGGGAATGGTGTTGCCCTTGGTGGGTACATGCCCCATGGCCAGTGTGAACACCGCCCCGAGACTGCCAGCAATCTCCGCTGCTCACGAAAACAAGGGGGCGGGGTGTTGCGGCAATGGATGGTGGGGAAGCAGTGGTGTTGCCCTTTGTGGGTACGTACGTGCGCCATGGCTAGAGTGAACACTGACTTTCGAGTCACCTCAAAAGTCACCTGGATATAATGTCACGCGACAATTTTACAGGTTGGGGCAATGGTGAGGAGGAAGCAGTAGTGTTGCCCTTTGTGGGTACGTGCGTGCCCCATGGCTAGAGTGAATAGAGTGAACACTGCCCCAAGGCTCCCTGCAATTTCCGCTGCTTGTGGGAGGGGGAGGGAGTGGCGAGCAGTGGTGGGGGGGGATTGATTGGGGTAGGACTGGGGAAGCAATGGTGAGGAGGAAGCAGTGGTGTTGCCTACTGTGGATACGTGCCCCATGGCTAGAGCGAACACTGCCCCTAGACTCCCTGCCATCTCAGCTGCTCAAGGGGGAGTCATGGTGTGAAGGAATAGTGGTGGGGTGCAGAGTGGTGGGGAATGGTGAGGGGGCAATGGTGGCGGAGCGGAGAGTGGTGTTGTTGCCCTTGGTGGGTGCATACATGCCCCGTGGCCAGCACAATCACTGCCCCGTGGCCAGCACAATCACTGCCCCGTGGCCAGCACAAACACTGCCCTGTGGCCAGCAGCACAAACACTGCCCCCGGACTCCCTGCTATCTCCGCTGCTCATGGGGGATGGTAGGGAGCAATAGGAGGACGAATGAAAGAACGGTGGGTGGGGGAGCAGAAATGACGTTGCCCTTGCTGGGCACATGCCCCATGGCCAGTGTGAACACTGCCCCCAGACTTTTGAGGCGCCTCAAAAGGCAAGTGTGAACACTGCCCCCAGACTCCCCGCGATCTCCGCTGCTCATGGGGCAAGGTAACCAAATATAGACGAATGCAAGTTCTGTAAAGGTACTGTCTGTCACGTGACTGACAGCACAACGACGGAACGTAATCTAGTAGTGCATTCATGGTATTGCTCACACTATCGATTTTTGAGGCGCCTCAAAAATCGTGACTGACAGCACAACGACGGAACGTAATGTAGTAGTACATTCATGGTATTGCTCACACTATCGAGCACAGAATCGTACACACACACACACGTGCGCGCACACACACACACACACACACACACACACACACACACACAGGTAGAAGGCATCTCTTGAAACGCTCACATCCGTACTAATGTTCCCCCCTCTCTCCCTACCACGAATACTCACTTGTGCCAAAGCAGGGCCGGCCAAGCTCGGGAGTGTCAACACAGAGGTAGCTGACGGTGGGTTGGGAGAAGGCAGGCCTTGAAACGACTACAATTGTGCACTCTTCCTGGCCTTGACTCACTTGTGCCAAAGCAGGGCCGACCAAGCTCGGGAGTGTCAACACAGAGGTAGCTGACGGTGGGTTGGGAGAAGGCAGGCCTTGAAACGACTACAATTGTGCACTCTTCCTGGCCTTGACTCACTTGTGCCAAAGCAGGGCCGACCAAGCTCGGGAGTGTCAACACAGAGGTAGCTGACGGTGGGTTGGGAGAAGGCAGGCCTTGAAACGACTACAATTGTGCACTCTTCCTGGCCTTGACTCACTTGTGCCAAAGCAGGGCCGACCAAGCTCGGGAGTGTCAACACAGAGGTAGCTGACGGTGGGTCTGACGAAAGCAGCGCGGGCGAGGAGGAGGAAGAACTCGGGGGAGACCCACTCGGTGCCGTTGAGGTGAGCCAAGTCGCAGTAGGCACACATGGGCATGGATCGACCCAGCGACAGATGGCTGTGGGACCCCTGAGAGGACGAAAGGGCAGGGGGGGGAGGCGGGGGAGGGAGGGTTTGATTGGAAGAACACATACGAGCAGCATATCACCCAAAGGCTGCAAGTCGCAGTAGGCACACATGGGCATGGATCGACCCAGCGACAGATGGCTGTGGGACCCCTGAGAGGACGAAAGGGCAGGGGGTGAAGAGAGGGGGAAGAGCGGGGGGGCGGGCTCAATGTTTGGAATATAGGCCCGTGCCGAACCTCGGCTCAAGCCAAGCCAAGCTGGCTCGGGGCGAACAGGTCCGGCGGCTCACCAGCCCTGCTGGCTTGTGAGCGAGCTTTGCTTCTGGGAGAGGGAAGGAGGGACTGAGATAGTGAATAAGCAACGGGAGTAACAGAGTGAGGAGAGCGGGCTATCGTGTTGAGCATTGAAAGAGTCGTGCCTTGGGAACGCAGTGAAGGGGAAGGCAAAGGGAAGGCAGTGAGGGGGAAAGCAGTGAGTAGGGTGGCAGTTAGTGGGGCGGAAGTGCGTGGGGCGGCAGCAGTGAGTGGGACGGCAGTGAGTGGGGTGGTAGTTAGTAGGAAGGCAGTGAGTGGGAAATTCGTCTCTCTGGCAGCCCGTGCAGCCTCAATGGCATGGGAAACTACGAGTTTGTGAAGGTTAAGTGCGTTACTTCATGTTATGATTGGAGTTCAAAGCACAAATGCACCTCGGGGAGCACGAGGATGCGGTTTTGGTCTCTCTGGCCACCCGTGCCGCCTCACCTCAATGACATGACATGGATGGATGTTGGCGTTGGTGAGTTGGTCTGCTGCTCCTGGCGAGGCGACCATGGTGGTGAGGAAACAGGCGAGCGATAAAAGAATCACGGGGTGTACGGTACCTACCTTGGGTAGGACGAGGATGCGGTTGGTCTCTCTGGCGACCCGTGCCGCCTCAATGACATGGATCTTGGCGTTGGTGAGCTGCTCCTCCACCGCTGCAAACACCAGATACTTGCGATTGGCGAAGTCCTGCGTTGCAAACAAACAGAAAAGGAGAAAGAAACACGAGGAGTCGGGGACAGGTGGGGGGGGGGGGGGGGGGGGGGCTGCTCCTCCACCGCTGCAAACACCAGATACTTGCGATTCGCAAAGTCCTGATGAAGAAGAAAATTAGAAGGAAATTTACAAACAATAACACACACACACACACATACACACACACACACACACACACACGCACACACACACACACGCACACACACACACACACACACACACACACACACACACACACGCACACACACACAATAGCATTAACAAAAACAAAGAGGAAGATGGGAAGGGAATGGGGGGGTTTGTAGGTTGCTAGGGAAGGGAGGAGAGGGGGTTGTCAAGAGATGCATGACATGCAGTCACAGCCAGGAAACGCTTTTGAGACGACTCAAATGTCTGCTTTTGAGTCGACTCAAAAGTAGGTTGTTAGGGAGGAGAGGGGGTTGTCAAGAGATGCATGACATGCAGTCACAGCGAGGAAACGGAGGAAGAAGCGTGGGGGAGGGAGGGAGGGAGGGTAGCTTTTGTAGACATCGTTCAAGGAAGTGAATGAAATGCACTCACCGAGAGCTGGGAAAACGGCATGCCAGGCACAGGCCAGCATGCCTCAGGCCAGTGGTTGCACGGACTGTCTGGGTCACTCGGACTGCTGCCGCTGCTATTGCTATCGTTGCCGCCGCTGCCGCCGCTACCGCTGCTGCTGCTCCCAGAGTAGCTTTTCGCCATCAGCCGTTCAACGTCCTCCACCTTATTGCAAATCGAGTCCACGCCAGCTGAAATACTCTCCAACGACACCCGCTCTTTCTTAAACGCGCGGGTGAGGAAGTGGCTGCCAGGCACGCGGTCCAAAAGGCCCTGCTTCCACGCTCGGCTGCACACCAGTCCCACATCCCCCTGCTGCTGCTGCTCCTCCACCTCGTCGCGACTCAACGGTCGCTTCTGCTGGATTGCAAGTGGGTTCAGTGAACCTGAACCTGAATCTGCACCTGATTCTGAACCTGAACCTGAACCTGAATCTAAACCTGAACCTGAACCTGGACCTGAAGCGGGTTCTTGAGCTGCGGTAAGTGCTCGTTGCGATGCCTGATGAGCTAGGTTCTGCATGTCTTGGCATAAGGTAACGCTGCACTCCGTGAGCTGAATTGGCGTGAACTTCGTTTTCGCGCCAGGGAGCCTGGCTGCTGATTTCAGGACCTGAATGCATGATTCTGATATATTGAAAGCTGCACCTAGGGAAGTCCGGTTGACGTTTGCTACCGTCGGATCGTCGCTCGCCGTCAGTAACCGGCGGAGATTCGCGCCTGGGAACCCGCTGAGAATCCCACCGTAGATTAAGCAGCAGACGAAGATTCCCAGCACGATGACTGGGAGTAAAACGGATCGGATTGAACGCTGTACGGCCATGGATTGCGAACCAGCCAGCCACGGTCGCCGTCGGCAGAATTTGCTCGGGGACTCTCCGAGAGCGGACGGCGGGCGAAAGAAGGCGTCTCCTTGACTTGAGAAACTGATTTCGTCCAGGTCCGACGGGTGCGATGGCCGATTGTACGTTGTCGCCATGGTCGCAGCTAAGACGCGATCAAGGAGCTAAGACGCATCGTCGTCGACGGGTACGACATTCGAAATGCAAGGATTGAACTTTCGCCACGAGGCAACGCTTTCGGAAGTTCCGACGTGGCAGTCGCTATTCCGTACAAGAAACTAGTTTCTGGTGCCGACAAAAGGTTAGTATTGTCGTCGTGTTAAAGTCCTGCTGAAGAAACAAATATTGTCCTCCTGCTCTCGCTAAAAAGGCTTTTCATGCATCTTGTGTCTACCTTTCACGTCGAGTTTTATCTTCTCAACGAAATTGCTTTTCGTGGTCCCTAAATCCACCTGACAGTATAGACTTCTGCAGTACAGTGCCTTGCCAGCCGCATCCTATCCAACTATAATTCTACGGGGTCGAGGCGTCTTCAACGCGAAGTAGTCGACTGAAGTAAGCATCAACTTTCAGCAAGGCGCGCGACGGGACATAAAACGAATCGCAACCTCATCTGTCATCCCGTTCCTATGTCAGCAACCAGAGTTGAGACGAACCCGTTCATAAGACGAACCAGTAAATCCAGTGTCAGCCGTTGAGCTTCTGGATTCTGGAAGGAAATCCAGTGTCCAGCAGAATCCCCTCAGGAAGAGTTTAGTCAAAGGTAGGTAATGCGATATCGCGCGTTTTAAAACGGTACAGAGCGATTGATATAAACTGCTGTATGTTCCCACCCACGCCTGTGATAAGTTGAGTACAGAACACGACAGTAGTCGCAAGTAGTCGTTGAAAGGCTTACGAACTGACAAGTCACGAAATTGACGACGACATGAGGGTGTGGTTGAGCGGCTGCAACCCAACCATTCCCAACCTAACCCAACCTAGCTCAGCCCAACCCTGACGGCGAGACGCGCAACTGCCGATTTACAGGATGGTCGAAGCGGGTTGAATTGGGCGCACAAGTACAACCCTCCTTGGCAAGGATGCAACCTTTATGCAACACATAGCTTACAAATGAATAAGCATACACATATATATAACGTACCCACAGAAGCACACCCATATATTTAAGAGCCACCCTGTTTGTGTGAATCCTTATAATTCTAGGGGGGGGCTCTCTTCTATAGGCCACCGGGGAATAACAACCCATTTCCCCAATATGTTCCTACGATGGAGAAGAATGTCCTTTTCAAAGTTTCGCCGACCACCACATGATGCATAGCCCGCCATGAAGACTGGCGCCTGTGCACATATTAGCTTGTCCACAATGGCAACAACTCCTGCAGCACCACAATTAAATCAAACACGTCAACCATAACACACAGGCCCAATTCCATCAGCACCAGTGGAAAAACAACCACCAATGTGCCAGCATAGTACGGCAATAAAGAGGTCACGTTAAAAAGAGGAAACACTGTTCGCATACCTGGATCCTGCTCGTTCAGCGATGGCATCAGCTCGTCAATCATAACAGTTCCGCTGACGTTATCCCGCAGCCAAGACAGCCAATAATGAGGCACCTCAGTGAGCGAGCCATTCCCATAGGCCCAAGCCATTGCCCCCCAGGACTCAGAGCGGGGTGTTGCTCCCGATTTGTTGTACGGAATGTCAGCGGCGATAAAAACAGTACCGGCATTACGTTTCGCCTTTACACGGTTTATCAGCCGTGCAGCTTCTCTCGTGCACCGCTCCATGCGCTTTTTCAATATCTTTAGCTTATCTGCAGCTGACAACTCAGCCTTCTTCTCCTCTGCCTGCACCAGCCATTCACACGATGGGCATGCAGGAATCAACTCTGCAGGTAGTAAAAAAATTGGACTACCCAACGAATTTACAATGCAAGGTACCAGAACAGCCAGCAGAATCCAAATGGTGTAGCATCTCATAGTATGGAATGTGCACGCATTGAATTCCAAGTCCTACGTACCAGGTTATACGCGATGAATTCGGATCGGAAATGAATGGCAATGAAGGGCTTCGGAAGCCCGGCAACGATCCTGTCAGCCACAGCGTGCCACTGCTTCGCATACGGCATGACTTCATGCGCAATGTTATCTGTTGCCCTGTCAAAGCGGTCAAACGTGTTCTTTGAGTAGATCACCACGTCCTTGTCAGCCCTGCCGGCAAGCCAGAGGGCACAAAAGACAAAGGAAATGGATAGGGTTGTGCGCAATGTCATCTGTTGCCCTGTCAAAGCGGCCAAACGTATTCTTTGAGTAGATCACCACGTCCTTGTCAGCCCTGCCAGCAAGCCAGAGAGGGCACGATAGACATAGAAGATTGCTAAGAGTTGTGTGCAATGTCATCGTTTCCCTGTCAAAGAGGTCAGACGTGTTCTTGGAGTAGATCACCACGTCCTTGTCAGCCCTGCCAGCAAGCCGGAGAGGGCACGTGAAAGTCAGACCGAGGACAGGGGGAGCATTGTGGACAACAAACGGGATGGAAACGTGGTCGCAACGAATGGGATGGTACCATGCCCCATGCCCCATGCCCCATGCCCCATGCCCCATGGCAAATGCACCATGGCAAATGCCCCATGGCAAATGCCCCATGGCAAATGCCCCATGGCAAATGCCCCATGGCAAATGCCCCATGGCAAATGGCCCATGGCAAATGGCCCATGGCTTATGGCCCATGGCTTATGGCCATGGCTTATGGCTCGCCACTGCACGAGAAATGGCTCTAAAGTCGAGTGGCTATTAGACTCACTGGGAGACTCACCACGCGTGGACGAGGGAGCGGATTTGGTCAGGGCGGGAGGGCATGTGTAGCCTGACAGTTGTGGTACGCGAGGGAAGCTGACCCATGGCCAGGGTCAGCAGTCCCCCCAGGCTTTGAATTATCTCCTCTGCACGTGGGAGGGGTACATGATACACGGGGTGTGGTCATGAGGGATAGCAAACGCAGCACTGCACAATCTGACAGTGGTGGTATGCGAGGGAAGCTGCCCAGGGCCAGCAGCGCCCCCAGGCTTCGAATGATCTCCTCTGCACGTGGGAGGGGTGCATGGGGGATGTGGGATGAGTACATGGCGGGTGGTTACGAGGTAAATCATGGTTTACTCTGCAGCACTACAAAATCTGCACTGGGCCATGAGGCATGAGCCATGATACTAAGCAAGGCTGATGATAGCGTTCTTCTGTCACGAGCTCACTTGTGCCGAAGCAGGGCCAATCAGGCTCAGGCGTGTCAACACAAAGGTAGCCCACAGAGGGCTGGATAAAGGCAGCTCGGGAAACACTCACATCTGTGCGAACACTCCCCCCTCTCTCTCCACCACGGATGCTCACTTGTGCCGAAGCAGGGCCGGCCGAGCTCAGGCGTGTCGATGCAGAGATAGCCGACAGAGGGGTGGATAAAGGCAGCTCGGGCGAGGAGAAGGAAGAACTCGGGGGAGACCCACTCGGTGCCGTTGAGGTGAGCCAAGTCGCAGTAGGCACACATGGGCATGGAACGGCCCAGCGACAGATGGCTGTGGCCTCCCTGGGAAGCACAGGCAGCAGAATATGAAAACACACACAAAACAAACAAACCAAAGAAAAAAGGGGGGGGGGGGGGGGGGGGGGGGGGGTGTTGGGGAAGGAAGTCCGAGGAACAAAAAAATGAATTTCCAAATCTGGATGACCAGGTCTTTTGAATAATGTCCTGGTGCAAAAGCATTGTGTGCAAGTGGTTCATGTGGTAGCTCAGCAAGCATTGAACTTGGTTCAGATCCATCAAACTTGGAACATCGAGAGGTTTTTTCTTCTACGTAGGTAAACAGGTCAAATCATGGAATGGGCTGAGAGGCGTGAGAAACCAGGAGTGTGCGAAAAAAAAACAAACAAACAAACAAAATAACAAAACACAAAACTTAAATCACAAATTCACCTTGGGGAGGACGAGGATGCGGTTGGTCTCTCTGGCGACCTGTGCCGCCTCAATGACATGGACCTTGGCGTTGGTGAGCTGCTCCTCCACCGCTGCAAAAACCAGATACTTGCGATTCGCAAAGTCCTGCATCGAAATAACAATAATAAAAGAGGAATTTGACAAACAATAACACACACGTGCGCGCGCGCGCGCGCGCGCACACACACACACACACACACACACACACACACACACACACACACACACGCACGAGGGACAAGAGAGGTGTACAATATTCTGATGTCCTTGTGCCTTTTTCACACAGCAATAACGTAAGAGAAATTGGACTCATCAGAACAGCTATTCCATGATCCGGGAATCCACCCAAGGCCAGCAGGTGCAGCTCATGTGCTTACCGTGAGTTTGGAAAAGGGCATGCCAGGCACAGGCCAGCACGACTCAGGCCAGTGGTTGCACGAATTGTCCTGATCACTCAGGTTGCTGCCGTCGCCGCCGCCGCTGCTGCTGCTGCTGCTGCTGCTGCGGCTGCTGCTGCTGCTGCTGCTGGTGTTGATACCACCCTCGTCTCGTATTGTGGGGTCCTGTAAGAGGTCTTTCGTGAAGTTGCTCTCTATCTCTTGCACTTTCCCGCAAAGGGAATCGATTTGAGCAGAAACGTTGGACACCAATATCTTCTGGGCTTTAACGCCTCGCTTGAAGAAACGGTTCTCAGGGAAGCGACTCATTAGATTGGACTTCCATTCCTTGCTGCACACGATTCCTAGGTATTCGTTTTGAGCGTTCGCCACGTCAGCAGGGGTTAATGGACCAATCTGGTTGCCTAACGCTGGAGAGAAACTCCGGTCTTCGTTCTGGATCTCTTTAGCCGCTCGCTTTGAAGCGTGGATCGCGAGTTGCTGCATCGCCGAGCATAAACTGGCTTTGCACTTAGCTAAGCGCGACGGATTAAATACAGTCCTCCTGGCACCAGGGAGGTTAGCGGCTGCTTGAAGAACCTCCACGCAACTGAATGTAATGTTCAAGCGAACATCTTTTAGACTATTGTCTTCAATCCGCGATACAACGTGGATCTTCTCGGGTAGTAGACCCCAAGTTCCATTGACGTCGCCGTTTAAATCCCGCGTCGCCAATGTGGCGGTCGTTGTAGTCACAGCAGAAAATCGAAGTACACTGGATTGAAACGAGTAACCCAGGAGTAAGACAATGAGAAGGCTCAGAAAAGGAAGCAGCTTGGAAATACGTGAAGTGGCCAGTTTGCGAGGACTGGCCAGCCATGGTCGTCGTCGCACGGATTTGCTCGGGGTTTCAATGGTCGAATCACGCTCGGTTCGGTCGCCGCTGCGCGACTCCTTGTGAAATTTATCGCCTCCGCCGGTTGCGTTAGTACTAGCGGAAGCTATCCGACCTAGTGGTCCTGTCATAACTTGACGGCTGAACGACGATCGACGATTTAGTCAGGAAAAGATGGAATGGCAGTACGGGGGAAGGGCCATCGCGACTACTATCGATTCGCTGCCACGGTTTTATTGGTTGCGAATCCCTCAGTTGGAAAAGTCCGTGTCGAGGGATATTGGAATCGCAGGCTGTGTGAGAGGGAATGCGACGACGAGCTGTCACGAGCCGTCAACCGCAAGGCGATCGACGATCGAGCGACGCAATCGCAATCGCACGTATCAATCGCCGGCGACAAGCACAGGCCAGTGCATCGAACCCAAGAACCGCCGACCAGCACGAAAAAAGAACTCAACGAAGCGAGAATAGCGGTCTAAAGAAAACGATTAGTGGTCAGAGGTGGTCACTGATTAGGACAAGAAAGTGACTTGTGACGGCAGGGCATGACAAGCAGAGAATCGCACACGAGTCAGCTCAGCACTCGTCTAATTCCGAATGGATATGGGAGGATCCAACTCAATTCAAGACTAGCTGAGGAGAACGGGAATATCGGATGAACGGGGTAGGGTAGCTGAGGAGGTTGCGTTGCGAATCGTGATAAGAGGTAAGTGGTCGGTGGTAAGCCGGCACCAGGACGAGCATTCACAACCTATCCTCCATAAAAGGTGCTGGGAATGAATGTTAGCGTCTTACTTCTGAGAACGTTTGTTCTAGCCGTTCCGTATCTCCATTTAGAAACGACTGCATACAAGCATAAGTTGCTTCAATTGTGATGGGGTGGTAACAATCTCCAATATCATAGGCACAATACATCAACAAATTAGCATGCTTTCATCAATATTTCGTAGTCACGCTGCTCGTCCTGCACATAGCAAGATCAGCAGTAAGCAGCAGCCATAAAAATTTGCTGGGTGAGGTATGCGAGTGAGAAAGGGTGGCAATGCTGTACCTTTGCAGGTGAGTGATCTGCGGTTTGAAACCTGCAAAGAGGGGAGAAAGACATTGAATCGGTTGAATATATAAGACTTATGGGAGACCTGGAAAGCCAACATTAGAAGTGCATCAGCAGTGAGGTGGTACGATGAGGAACCACCAAAAACAAGGCAGGGACATGGCAGGAGACAGGGTGATCAAGGACTGCGCAACATTCTACTAGTGGTCCTAAATTTTACGTGCAAAAACCTTGCAGTGGCCCCTTTGGATGCAGCCTGATTCTGATGTTTCTCACCCTAGCTTCTCCATGTAGAGTGCTCTGGCAGATTTATTTTCCTTCTGGACTGTAAGAAAGATGGCTTCGAGCTCACACTGATAAAACAAATGCAAGCGCAAAATGGATACAAGATGGTAAAAGAAACACAGAAGGTGAGAGATGGAGAAGCTTCGAAAAGAACAAGACATAAGATAACATGACATTGAAAGACTTGTCAACGTCACAACATTGTTAGCTGAGAGCGAAAATATGGAACCCGAAAGCCACATATCTGGAAATGGTTCAGCGGTCGTACCTTCTTTGCCATGAGTTAGCTTGCTGCCAATTCCCATCCCTTGATATTCAGCCTCCACTTGTAACTCATACACGTACAGAGAGGCCATCTCATTCTCCTCAACAATGCGGAAGTGCATAAAGCCCACATGCTTGCATTCTGTGGTGCCGTCAATTCCCGTGCATCCCCCATTCGTCGCTTGATACGAGGAATTAGCATTCTGCCGTTGGCTTTTGACACTGCGTGCTGGTCTTGGGTTGGATGGTTTTTGGTGCTGAACCTGTTGTTGAAAACATCTGTCCCCCTGCATCTGAAGTCTGGAAGACTGGCAATCTTGAAGCTGTGAAGGGTTAGCAGGAGGCATGCTCCCTGAAGCCTCTGTGCTTCTGGCCTCAACCATGGCCTCAACCATGGTCTCTGCCGCTATAATTTGCACACCTGTGGTAGCTTTGTTGGCCTTCGGCTGCTTGAGAAAGAGATAAACGGCGTCAGGCTCCACTGCTTCTGTCAGCTTGCCAGAAAGCACTTGGGGCCAGGTGGACGGTACAAAGTGCTGCTCCATGTTTCTCTGTGACGATTATTGGAAGAGCCATCATAAAATGTATGGCACATGTCATAAGAACCTCCCTCAGCTTTGCGACTCTTTGCTCCTGAAATAGCAATTCGCAGTAAGGCAAACAAGAACGGGGGACGCCAAATGAGACGGTCGTACCTTGAGCAGATCTTTCACCCAAATCTCCTCGTCATGACTCAAAGCACTGCTCGCCTTTTTCTCCAGCTGGAAAGCCATCCCTGCAGCGGAGAACGGACAGCTGAAAACGTGCAGATGTCATCTGAAGACATTGCTGAGAACAGACTTATTCTCTGCTGAGCTGATTTCCAGCGCATTTCCATTTTCCGTCGACCCGCAGCTCACCATTTCTGGTTATCATCTCTCGTGGCAGTTCCATAGATTCGACATTTTTGACAGCGCTTCCGAGTCGTTTGCGCAAACTCTTACGAGCCATCTAGGATGTCATATAACTGCCAGCGCAACGGGTAGGTGCAGAAGCTAGTCCAGCCGTGTCTAGCGGTAATACAACTTCTGAGGACCTACTGTCGTACGCTCTGACAACTCTGATCTGACCCTCAAAACCAACCTGGGGCAAACCTTTTCCTGTCGTCACAAAACGCTACGAAACCCATGCTTTCGCGAACTGACTTTCACGCCACCTGAACATTGGTTGTTGTCCGAATCTTCGCGAAATTTCTCCCAAGGTAGTGACGCGAAATTTACATCTTCCGTATTCACTAAAATCTAGGTTCCTGAAATTCTAGACTACAAAAGTAGCCTGGACTTCATTTCAACCACGAAGTTCCTTGATTTTCTTCCTTCGACTTTCACTTTCACGAAGCAACGATCCAGTTGGTCTGATCCTTTCTTTCAGCCAACCGGACATTTCGTGCCTTTTCTAAATGGTCCTCGCAATGGCTGCAGAAGCACAGATCAAGAAAGCTGACATGTCTGAGGAGATGCAGAAAGACGCCATTGCAATAGCGACTGAGGTTAGCCATGTCTGCAGATTAAGCTTCCGATCACCGCACTGCACCATTGGCTAACATGCTGTGCATCATGTCCAGGCAATGGAATCAAAAACAGCTCAACAAGACATTGCGCTGCACATAAAGGCGGCATTTGATGAAAAGCACACGCCTGTGTGGCACTGCATCGTTGGGAAGAACTTCGGTGAGGAATTTTAAGAGTCTCTCGGATGTGTCCTCGGACCGCGGATGTGGAACACGGCCATAAGAACTCCATTGTTTTCACTGCAGGGTCGTACGTGACGCATGAGGAAAAACACTTCATCTATTTCTTTCTCAAGGGCCATGCGATCCTGCTCTTCAAGGCTGGTTTCGCCAACACCTGACTTCGCTGAAACGAATAAATGGCGAGCCATGTCAAGAGGGCATGCCGCTGTATACGGGAAAAGATTGCAAGGGATGCTACGGTATCACTTTGGCAAAGGCTGTGCCATTTCAGAGAGAGTCTGCCAGAAATATTTAAAGCTTTCGTATACATTTGAAAGTGGGAGTTTCAGAAGTTTAGAAATTTGAAAACTGGTTACCCTATTACAGCGAATTTGTCTCGTCCCACAAGGGAGGTGACGGCCCCCGACACCCCGCACCATCTCAAGCCCAGATCTGGTTCAAAACTTTTGAAACCACAAAAGTATACGAATTACCTGTCTACTCAGGACTCAGGCCAGGGTGCTTGATACGCCGCCAACATCGTAGATACGCAGGTCGCCACAACTAGGCCACCAACGCGGGAACCGCGCTCTCACACTCGCCTCGCCCGCATCACACGCGTTCGACATTGAGACAGCGCCTGCTGCGCCCGCGCGCTTTCAAACGCGGCATCCGGAACACCTACCACTCTCTTCGCGCCGCATCAAAACGCTGCTTCTGGCCTAGCCGGCACCAGTTTAGGGTAACCTCGCCTAGGCGATCACAACGGGTGTTGTTTCATTAGCCTCGCCCCGTTTGTCCGTCGCTGCGTCGCGTCGCCGCACCTCGCTGCCTCTTCACACCACCTTGAACGCCCACTCTGCATCTGAAACTGCCTAACAGCGGGATCTCGCACGCCCACAGTCGCCTCCCGCTCGCGCAGCTTCGTTACCCCGGTTCCGCAACGTTTAGACAGCCGCAACGTTTCCGCGACGGACTGCCGAAACGGCCTCCCCGTCCAGCCAATTCTTCTCCCCTTCCAAGCGCCTTCCCATCTCCCTTGTCCGCCTCCCTATTTCCCTTGCGTCGCACCGTACCTCGCGTACCGGTAAGTGCCTCCGAAGCCCCACTTTCAGCCAAACGGTCTCCCTTTCTTGCCACCCTGTTTCGCGTTCCCCTTCTCTCTTTCCCCATATCCCCTTGCCTTCCCGCATCCCCTATTCCCCATTCCACCACCTCAATCCCCCTTCCCTTGTCCCGATTACCCCTTCCCGGCTCCCCGGTTTCCCTCCCCGCCCCGCATTTCCCCTATCCGCCACCCCGATTCCCATTCCCGCAGCAAGTACCCCCTTCACACATTGTAACGTACACTTCCCGCAGCCCATTACCCCTTCCCACCTCCCCGTTGCGCCTTCCCAGTCCCCGTTTCCCTCTCCCTCTCTCCCGCTAAACGCCACCCTATCTCCCCAGCCGTCCCTCCTATCTCCACGTCATGCTGCTCGCCATTCCGTGTGCTAGCCTCCCCATCTTTCATTCCCCCGACTCCCTAAAATGACCCCCTTCCCTTCTCCCTCTCCTTTCCCCCCCTTCCCCCTGAAGTTTCCTGCGCTTGCCCCTTTCATTACCCCCGCTTCTCCTTCTCAGTTACGCCCCTCTTCCCTCTCATCTCCCCTCGTGCTGCCTCTCATGTCCCCCCTTTCCCCTTCTTTCATTCCCCCGTTCTCCCTCTCATCCCCCCCCCTATCCAGTCTGTAATCCCCTCTTTCTCCCTTTCTTTACCCCTCACATGCCCCCTCATTCCACACCCCCCCACCCCCCTCCTACCCCCTCTCGCGTTCCCCCCATTCACCTGCTCATTTCCTCCCCTTCTCCCTCTCATTGCCCCCCATGCTCCCTCTCATGTCCCCCCTTTCTCCTTCTCATTTATCGCCATTCTCCCTCTCATTCCCCCCCCCCCTTTCTCAAGCTCATTTCCCCCCTTTCTCCCTCCCATTTCCCCGGATGTGCCCCCTCCTTCCCCCCCCCCCCTTTCCCCCTCTCGTTTTCACCTGCTCATTTTCACCCCTTCTCCCTCCCACTGCCCCATTCGCGGCCTCTCAGTTTCGCCCCTTCTCCCTCTTATTCACTCCCCCTTCTCCCTCTCGTTTCCCCATCTCCTCCCTATCGTTTCCCCCTTCCCCTTCTCGTCTACCCCCGTCCCCCTCTTATGTCTCCCCATTCTCCTTCCTGGTTTTCCCCATTCTCCATCTCATTCCCCCCTCATTCCCAAGCTCACCTACCCCCTTTCTCTCTCCCTTTTCCCCAGATGTGCCCCCTCATTCCCCCCCTGTCCCCCTCTCGTTTCCCCCCCATTCACCTGCTCGTTTCCTCCCCTTCTCCCTCCCATTGCCCCACATGAGACCGGACCAGGGTTCCCCTTTTGTCTCCCTCATTCAACCCCCCTGCGGGGTTCCATATCCACCAGTTTTGGGTTCCCCTCCCCCCCTTTATCCCGCTCATTGCCCTCCCTTCTCCTTTTCATTTTCCCGCCGTTCTCCCCCTCATTCCCCCGTGCTCCCCCATCGCATACCCTTCTAACCCCTGCCGTACCCTCCGTCACACACGCTCCTTCCTCCAGGGCGCCCACGCTCACTCCCCTGCCACCCACGCGCAATCCCCTCCGTGCTGTTTAGTAACAGCACCCCCTGTCCATCTCCCACATTGCAACCCTAAACTCCATCTACCCCCTGCTTCCCCTCTGTCTCCTCCCTTCTTCCCCCTTTTAGCGTTCACTGTCTTACCCCCTTCTCTTCCCTCTCCCTTCTCTTCCATACACTCTTCTTACCCCTTACCCCTCTCTTCCGTACACCATTCTACCCCCAACTTGCGTTCTCTGCCTTAGGCCATGCTTCCCCCTTCCGGCCTCTCTCTTCCCTACACCCTTCTTCCCCATCTCCCCTCTCTTCCCCACTTCCATCCACCCCTTTTTCCCACTCCTCGTTACCCCCTTCTTCCCCCACAATGCCGGCTCAGAGAAACACCGTGCTTCCCCCTTTTTCCTCTCTTCCTTGCACCTATCTTCCCCCTTTCCCCTCTCTGTCTTACACCCATTCCCCCCCCGTGCCCTCTCATCCTTACACCCTTCTTCCCCCACCATAAGGTCTCTGCGTTACGCCCTTCTTCGCCCTTTCGCCAATCTCTGCCTTTCACCCTTTTTCCCCCTTTGCCCACTCTAATTTACCCCCTTCTTCCACGTTTCCGCCCTTGGTGCCTTACGCCTTGCCTCCACCTTTACCCTCTCTTCCCTACACCCTTCATCCCCCTCTCCGCTCCCTTGCCTTACACCCTTCTACCCCCTTTTCCCCCTCTGCGTTGCGCCCTTCTTCCCCCCTTTCCCCTCTCTGTCTTACACCCCTCTTGCTCTATACTCCACTCTGCCTTACCCCCTTCTACCGCCTTACCACCCACTCTGCCTTACGCCCTTCATCCCCCTTTTCCCCTATTCCTTCCAAGCTTCTTCCCCCTTTCCCCTCTCTGTCTTACACCCCTCTTGCTCTATACTCCGCTCTGCCTTACACCCTTCTTCCACCTCTCCCTTCTCTACCCCACACCCTTCTTCCCCCACCGTGCGTTCTCCCCCTGATTTCCTGCTAAACCCACTTTTCCTTCTCTTCCCTACACCCTGCTTGCCCCTCTCTCTTCTCTGCCTTACGCCCTGCTCTTCCCTTTCCCCTATCTTCTCTACACCCTTCTTCCATCCTTCCACCCGCTCTGCCTTACAATGGTCATCACCCTTTCGCTCTCTGGCATTCACCCTCCTTCTCCCGTACACCTCTCTTCCGTACCCCCCTTTCGCCCCCACCTGTCGTCCTCTATTTTACGCCCTTCTGCCCCCTGTCCCCTCTCTGCCTTACGCTCTTATTCCCCCTCTCCCCACTCTGCTTTACCCCCTTCTTCCATGTTTCCACCCTCGGTGCTTTACGTCCTGCTTCCCCGATTCCGCTATCTGCCCTACCCCCTCTTTCCCTTCTCCCCACCCTCCGTTACCTCTCCTTCCGCCTTTCCACCCACTCTGCCTTACACCCTGCTCCCGCCTTTCCCCTTCCTGCCCATCTGCGCCTTCATCTCAGGTGCGCACTCCTCTCTGCGCCCTCATCCCAGGCCTGGTCATATCCCTACTCTAGCTCCAATCTTATCCCCTCTCTCTTCCCCGCCTTCCCGTACTTTGTCTGCAACTCTTTCCACCCAGTATGGAGTGTGGAGCAAATGTCACATCAAGGAGGCACGGGCAGTGGCACGGCCAAGCGCATCCGGACTGGATGGCCTGCTAGGTAACCCGTTTACATTGTGAATATTACCCATTCAGCTCATAGTCCCATGCCGCACATCCTTCAAGCGCATGTTAGAGGTTTTGACTCTGTCAGTGATACTTGGCAATGTTTTTGGCAGGCCACGCTGTAGAGCGCTCATGCGTCGCCAGCCCGAAGGGGTACGCATGGATGAGCAGGACGATCTCGAAGAGAACGAGGATGGGAGCCAGCGTGAGAGTGCATCCGAAGCACCAGCAGCGGCTATTCAAACAAGCAGCGTTCGGAGCACACCGACGCCCGGGCCCACTCGACGCGTCCGTGTTCGCTCCGGTCTACCCCCGATCATTAGCACTCCGTTGTTTTGCTGGTCGATCCCCTCTTTTGCTGCGATTCCCAAAACAGCATGATGTGCTACGCAAGTGGGCGACTGGATGGCTAGCATTTCCCACCGAAGATAGTGTTGGTCGTTTTGCCACCAAACGTACGGTAGAGAGCGTGATACGAGTAGCTTGTGGCGCAAACCTCGAGGTGGGCGTGGACGACGTGCCGGTGGAGCCGAAGAACCACCGATTCCGCTGTTACGTGGAGTACTCTGATTTGTTGGGGGATGACTCTGATGACCAGGTGGTTCTTCCATGGCTGATATACGTAGTAATTGCCTCGTTGTACCCAGAGTCAGGCACGGAGGGGTATTACGTGCGATGTGACAAGGACGACGTGGTGTGGTTCAACGACTGTGACAAGATGATGCCAGATGTGATCGACTTTGAATGTGACGGGCTTGTTGGGTTTATGGGTAGTCATTATGGTGATAGCCAGTAAACACATAACAGTAGTAGTCTTGAGGAACGAGTACCTGTATTTGAGCCAGGGTGACCATAGGGAGCATTCACATGCCCGTTGTACACTTGCATGCCACAAACATTATATGGTGAGCCGATAGGTACCAAAGTGTAGGCATGGGGAGCCATAGCTCTCCGAAGCACCTGGGGAAGCTACGTGGCTTGGTGATAAAGGTTTTGCCACGTTTGTCTTTTTACATTTCATTGTAAAGGTAGCTACTCGGCGGGCAAATATGCAGTGATCAAAGTGGGGTTCTTGCAATCCTGAAAACCATCAGAGAGCGCTGGGTCAGGACATGGGACGGAGGGGATAAAGGGAAAAAATGGGAGTGGGGGAATGGTGGTTGAGGTAGGGACATGCGCGAGGAAGGCCAGAGCAAAAGGGTGAGGCAGAGGAAGTATATTGGACGGCAAGCGCGGTACATTGATACATCACACTTCGCGCCTCTATAGAGTGCATCAAGGGGTTCAGGTTGCTGGTCCAGTCTGCCACCGCCACTTTGACTTTACCTCTGCCACCGCACACAAATGTAACGGGCGAGAAGTGAACCTACATGACCAATGGGGAAGGGCCACGTGTCCAATGGTCCTTGCTTCAGCTGCCGGATGCTGCCATAGTGGATCATGACGTTCACTCCCTCCACCTGTGAGGGAGCGACATGTGGCACACAATAGAGACAAAGGGGGGGGAAGAATCAAATAAAGGAACAGGGCAGGAAAGGGATGGGTGAGGGATCTAGAAAAAAGAATGAACGAATAGTCCCCTTTCAAAATGGCTATCAACAGTTACCTCCATGTTTCATACCCATTCCTATCACTCTAGCAGTAGATTACGATGAAACATAGAGCACTGGACATGGAACCCAAAGTCAAAAATACCATGCTCTTGCCACTGATGTATGCCACTGTGGAGGCTATAACAAACATGCGTACAGCCGTACATGCGTACACCATTCTACCCCCACGAAGTGCAAGCACCCACCTGCAGCACCCACTTGCTTCTGAGGCGCCTCATAAGTGAAATAACCACCTGCAGCTGTTCTCTTAGCTCCACCCGCTCCTTATCCTCCAGGTCAGCCCCCTTTGTGTCACAAAGACAGAGCGCGCCTTATTGTCACAACTCTCCACCCTCACTCACACCTCCTGAACGGAGATGGAGCGAGAACGGAGGGAGATGGAGGGAAGAGAGGAGGGAAACAGAAGAAGGAGAAGCTCTGAGCATGTCCAAAACTTGTGAGGGTCGCATCGCGAGAAGTTCTAGTCATATCTATTTGACTAGACCCCCTCCCCTCCCCCCCACCCACATGCGACGAAAAAAAAAAACGAGGCAAGTTTTCCCTTTCCCACATAGGATGAAAAGAGGGCCAGGAAAGAAGGCAAGTCTCGCCTTCCCCACATAGGACGTGAAGAGGGCGAGTTTCTCCTGAGTGTACTGCTCACTCAGTTGAACCCTCAACGTCTCCATTGCTCCATGTCCCACCTCGTTTCCCTCTCCCTCCTATCCTCTCTCTTCCCCTGCTCCTTCCACTCTCCCCTATCCTCCCCTCACTTCCACCTCTTTCTTCCCTTCCCCATCTTTCCTTTTCCTCCACGCCTTCCCCTCCTGCTGCTTCCCGCTTCCCCACTCTCTCCTGCCGCTTTTCTCCGTTGCCTCAAGCAGGTTCGGGTCGTGTCCATTGGCTCGGAGCCAGCCTCGGAAGCTCCAGCGGCGCAGCTGGAGGTAATACACTTTGAGTGAGAATGCAGTCAGGGGTGGGATGCGGTGGAAGGTTGAACCTGAAAGACCTGTGCCGAGTGAGTGCAGATACACCCGTGCAAGGCCGATGGGAGTGGTGTGGGGGGTGGAAGGCAAGGTGCCGAGCAGCGAGTGCAGATCCACATTGGGAAGCAGCAGGCAGCAAGGCATACCCAGCAGAAAGGGGTAGCAAGGGAGGGACACACCAGGCAGGAGCAGGAGGGGTCGATGGAACGGTAGTCATTTGCCATAGCAGCATAGAAACAGCACAGACGCATCAGGAGCAAGGGATGCAGGAAGGCGCAGCATGCAGCAGGCAATGCAAACCAATCCATACTTGAGTAGATGGGTGAGAATGGAGCTCACATACGGGCGCAGTCCCCAATGTTGCATGCTGCCCACCAGGTTGAATCATCTGACGTTGGAGACGTCTCCTGCAAACAACACAAATGGAGGTCAATTGTCACAACTGCATTGCAAATGTGTTGTCTACTTGTATGTATAATGCACCACCATGCGCGTTGAGACATATGGGGGGACTTACCAAAGAGTGTACGTCGAGGTTCAGATGATCCACTGGTGATGGTACGCCTTCGCTTGTTGGGTGGTTGGGGAGTGGAAGGAGCAGCAGCACCGCCGTTGGCGGCGATTGGACTCGTCACAGGGTCAAGTGTCATGCAGTTCCAATCCCGCATTATATCGTCTACCCAGGTCCAATCCATAGGCCCTAAGGTCCGGGATGTCTTTCCCCGTCGGACCCTAGTTGCACGCTGCATTCTGATTTTGGTGGCTCGGACCTCTCGCTCCAGAGAATGATTCCAGTGCATTACGGCCAATCCAACCCTTGCTTGCATGCTTCCGCGAAACAAGGTGCGCTTCGGAGCGTACTTGCAAATCAATGAATGAAATGACTCATTCATCCAATTGCACTCCCCACTCACGTATGGTTTCATCTCGTCAGCCCCACAGTTCTCGCTCAACCACTTCCTGAAAGCAATGTGCGTGCGGGAACCAGGCTTATACAATGCACTTTCAGCACCCCACTTCTCTCTCACGCATATTGGCCTCTCGGAACCCCGGCCACAGCGTGAATGATCTCCAGCCCAATGCTCGGCTGCAACAGCAATCTCATCAGCAACGTCCTGCGCCGTCATCGGCCTGCCCGCTCGCCAGAGTGTAGCACAACGTGCCATCACGTGATGGAAGTGTACGCTGAATCGCTGTGCCACTGTCATCTCCTCGATTACCCCTCCCTGCTCCTCGCCATCTTCCTCAAGCGAATCGTCTGCTCCCCTCTTCCCACTGCGGGGTCGCTTATTCACCCAGCGACGTGGTCCACCGGACGGCGCAGTGTTGCCCTCACCTCCCACCGTGGTGCTGTCACCATTAGTACCTTAGGAAACAACAGATTCGGGATGGGGGTTGTGGTATTGTGTAATTCAACGTAGAGGCACTTATATGGCATCCAAGTAGAGCTGTGGGTGTAAGCAAAGCGAAACACAAATACTGCAAGCAGTTGCTTTGCTCGGGCCTCACCTGGCGGTCCCAAAGTTGAGCTGGTTCGTGTCGCGGCACCCGTCATGCCACGAGTTGCATCGGCATGGTTTGACGCAGCTGCCTGCATGAGGAAGAACGACACCACAGAGCTTGGCCGCACTCCATGCTCTGGATGTGGATCGTATCCCCACAACTCTCTCACGTCGGAGTACTGTAAATCCACCCCTCCTGGATCAGCCGGACTCTCTGTGATACCATCATCCAGAATATCAATTGCAACAAACCCTTTCAACGCTTCATTCGTGACCCGTTTATCCCCGCCTTCCATGTGCTGAGATTGTGCAACAGGCACATCCACAACCTCCCGTGACAAACCCTCCACCGTGCAACCCCCATCAGGACCAACCGACATGGCATCAGACGTTGTGCGGGTCGAACCTCTACTGCGCACACTCCGCACATACGATACACGACGCATCTCTGGGTATAAATACGGCGAGCTATCGCCGGAGAGATCCACAAAAGTCCAGCCCCGAACACGACAAACAGCACCAATCAATTCCCTTTTTGGCGCTCTGTGTAGACCCTTCAAGCCATGACCTGGATGATCTCGCAACCAGGCCCTGAGATCATCGAGCTTTACATCCCACAGATCCTTAGCAGTGTTCGCGTCTTTGGTGGATAGTGCGGCCTTTCGTGCATTCACAAAGTGCTTCACAAACTTCCGTGATAACGAACGTCCTTTGTGCCACACGTCCATCTGGTGCTCGAGGTCTGTCTTAATGATAACGGCTTTGAAACTCGACCCGTCATCACTGATGATACCTTTCACCGGAAACCCCCAATTGTTCAGGTCTTCTAGTCCCTTAGAGAATGCCTGACCCTCTAGCTCAGTCGACGATACCTTTAGCATGGATCTCGACACCGTCACACAGTGAAGTATCTTACGTGACCTGGGATCCATAAATGCAACACTACACCATTCCGCCTCTCGTGGCTGGCCCCACCTTCCGTCAACACACAACCAAAAACCACGTTCTCGCCGAGCTAACATAGCTGTACGCACCACCTCCATGCTTTTGTTGGCATGTTCTACGATCTTCTCCCACAGCCCACCTACCCCACTCATGTACCTGTAGAAGGTTCTCTTACATGGGATGGGCAGACCGAGATTCCTACCAACCTCCGATAGCGCAGTATACCCAAACCCTGCTAGAGCAAAAGACGCAAGGAATCGCTGTAACAACGGGAGACGTTTCCTTCCTGGCTTGTCGGTCGTGCAACCCAGTGGCTGACGATCAACCGACCACAGCGACGTCGATTTTCCACACTTATCACAGCTCCAAACCATTCCAAATGCAGCCCACAACAGTTTCCAAGAGCGCAACCGCATCGAGCCCCCACATCCACCGCTAATGGTGCAATGCAGCGTCACCACCATGAAGAACCGAATGATGTGCACTGGGCTCAGCAAACACACGACATCCCGCAGTCCGTCAAGTGTTGGGAGTGCCGGCCATCGCCCGGGCGAGGTCTCGATCGGGATCGCATGATCATGCGAGTTCCTAATGAGTGGGAGAAATGGGGTGTATAACCTGATATTGAGTCGTGGAGTGGGATTTGAAGCGGGAGCGAAGACTGCCTGGGTTGGGGTGGGATGAAAATATGTTGGGCTTTAGGGTACTACTTGGGCTTGCAAAACCCATCATGGGTTAGATTGATGTAGATGATCTACCTCTTACCCTTCATTTCACGTGCATACGCTTATTCCAGTACGTCACCTCTCATTTCACTTACACTTCGTGTGTGTGTCCGTCCTCTTTGCCAGATGTGGCAGTGGGCTGCCCACTCCCTCCTCCCATCTCAAGATCGATCTCCACTTGGACATCTCCAACTTGTACCGGAACTTCATCATCTATTTCAATCACCACGTCATGCTGCTCCTCTTCCTCCTCGCTCACATCGCGCACCGTAGGCGTGGCAGCAGTGCTGTTGGCCTCTCCCGCTGTACATTATTGAGATCATAGAAAAAAGTCACACACAACATCCACACTATGTGCGCTGCCAAAGACCGATTGAGTGAGGCTCGCCGTACCGAAGGGTGGAAAACGTGCGATGCCCATGCCTCATCACTGGGGTAGGGGGTGGACGGGGCAGAGGAGGAATCGAGGGGAAAGGGGGAAATCCCATCGCCTGAGTGCGGAAGTGATGTAATGGGCATGGAAGGCTAGACAAAATGGACCTGCCCATGTTGCATCCTTGGGGCAGGGGAGGGTAGGGGCAGAGAAGAGGATGATCACACTCACGTGGATCGCACTCTACCTCATCGTCCGCGGTGTGTGCCCCTGTCCAGATTACAGGGTCACTCGCAACGTACACACTAACAGCGCTGACATGGTATCATTTTGCGAGCTGTGCAGTGTAGCTAAACTCTGATTGGGAGCGCATACCTTTTTGCTTTAGCTCAGCATACGCTGCACCCCGACGGGCCCCACCCTGACGGAAAACGGTGGTGTCGCGTCGTAGAGTCTCCTCATCGCTCCAATGATCTATCGGGAAGGCATATACCAAACCCCTGATAGCAGCTGGCTGTCCTCCCACGAGGGCATCAGGTCGGCCGGCCATGCGATCCTTCCCCCCCTGAAACTTTCCAGCGTACTTTTCCAGGCAGCCTTGCACTGCCTTCTCGGCCGTATCGCCGTCCGCACCTGTACGTTGGGTGAATGAACGGTAAAGGGCACCATCTTCAGCATGGTGGAGCTCTAAAGTCACGTTTTTCGCTATGGTAATTGCTAATAGACAAAACCAATGTTGGGAATTTGGCAGCCCATGAGTAGATGGTCACTTACCGGCCTTCTTCGCTGCGGTCATAAGTGTCTCGGTTGCCCCTGGGCCAGCGTGTAACAGAAAGTACACAAGGTCTGAAAGCGTTGCCGTACGTCCCTCTCCCATCAAAGTGCTCAAGCCACAACGCAAGTAACAAATAGGGATCTGCATGTGCTTTGATATTGCTAGATTCCTCTGATCCTTTGCTTTCACCAATTCCTTCACCCTCTTTGTCCATGTCTCCACAGATATTTTTCTTGGATGCCCCATGAAGTGCCCCTCCCGTTACGAGTCGTGCGTGGTTTGGACAGCGGAGGGAATGGAGGGGGAAAGCAGGGCCGCAAATCCGCGCGGCGGAGATGGAATGGATGATACGAAATAGACGGTGGACCGAGATCTCGTGATGGCGGGCTTGTAATTATGCGCGGTCACGTCGACCATGTCAAGGCGGGCTCCTGAAATAAGGCACAGGAAGGGCGGGCAGATGGGATTGTGGGGGCATGCAGGGCTCCAAAAATAACCTATAGATCATGTGGCATGGGAGGCGAGATTACTCTGAGCTATGGAGGGGTGAGGAAGAAGTGTGGTGGATAAGATGGACCCATGGCAACGATGGGTGTGGGGGCCAAGATAACGTCGTGCGACGTTAACTACTATCGGAAAATGTGTCCCACCCTGGAAGGGAGGGATGATGTGAAGCCGAAATGGGGAGGGAGGGAAGGCAATAACAGGGAAGGGAAGGGCAGTAGGGAAACGGCATGGCAGTCGGGGAAGGGCAGTGACGGGGGGATGGATTGGCAGGGAAGGGGAAGTATGCAGCTCACTCGTGATAGACCACGGCCTAGCCGTGTTGGCCCGTAAATGAGGGGGAGAAGCAGGGAAACGATATAGAGAAGAGGGGGGGGGGGTGGGGGGGGGGGGGGGGGGTTGAGAGGGAGAAAAGGGGGATCTGAGAGTTGGGAGGGGGGAACTTGAGTCGGTGAAGGGGTTGAAATGAGTGGGAGAAGGGGGAGAAACGGGGGGGAGACAGGGGGAAATGAGGGGGAGCCGAAATGGGTAATGAAAGGAGCAGGGGGGGAAATTTCCCGGAGAAGTGGGGGACATGTGGTGGAGAAGGGGAGAAAATGAGTGGGAGAATTGGGGGAAGTGAGAAGGAGCATGGGGCTGTATGAAGGGGATCAGGGGGGTGAAAGAGAGGGAGAAGGGGGGAAAATGAGGGAAGCAAGGGGGGGGGGTGGGGCTGAGAGGGCGAAACGGGGGAATTGAGATGGAGCAGGGGAGGAAATGAGGGGGAGAAGGGGGGAAACGATAGAGAGTAGAGGGGAGAGGGATGAAAGGGGGATATTAGAGCGAGAAGGGGGGGGATTTGAGTAGGGGAAGGCGGGGGGGGGGGGGGGGGGAGGAGGGGTAGAAGGGGGATAAATGGGGGGGAGAACGGGGGGTAGGAGGGAGAGACAGGTAGGTAATGAGAGGGCGAAGAGGGGGGGAATGAGAGGGAGAAGGGGGGGACATGTGGGGGAGAAGAGGGGTAATGAGTGGGAGCAAGGGAGAAACGAAAATGATGGTGAGGGGAGGGGGGCTGAGAGAGAGCAAGAGGCGGAATGAGATGGGGCAAGCGGGGGGTAATGAGAGAGAGAGCCGGGAGGAAATGAGAGTTAGAAATGAGGTGGCGGAGAGGGGGTGATGAGATGGCCTCATGTAGCTACATGAGGGGGAGAAGGGAGGGATAGGAGGGAGAAGGGGGAATCGAAGCGAGAAGGGGGCCAACCTTGCGTGGGAGCAGAATCCGAAATGAGAGGGCAAAGGGGATAAAATAAGGGTGAGAAGGGGGGGAAACGTGCTGATCTGAGGGGGAGAAGGGGGTGAAATAAGGGCGAGTGGGGTTGAGAGGGATAAGGGGGGATTTGAGAGCGAGTAGAATGGAATCTGAGTGGGGGAGGAGGGGGGGGGAACTCAGAGTATGGGGGGGGGGGTTTTGGATGCCTTGATTTCGGGGGGAAATGGGGGTGTGAAAGGGGGGCAAATAGAGGGGGAAGTAGGGGGGTAATGTGAGGGTGGAGGGGGGGCTAAACAGTGGAAGAATGGGGGAAACGTGGGGGCGAAGGGATGGGAACTGAGGGAGATTTTGGGGGGAAAGCGCGGAAGAGGTGATGCCAAAGGAGGGTGCGTACGGGAGGCAATGACAGGGCTAAGCGGGGAAAACATGGGGATGGAAGGGGGGGTAATGTGAAGATTATGCGCATGCGCAAAGTGGGAAGCAGGCGCGCTGCGTGTGATGCGCTTAGCAGGAAGCATGCGCGCAGCGGGTGAGGCGCTAAGCGGGAAGCAGGCGCTAAGCGGGACGGGCGCTTAGCGAGAAGCAGGCGCGCAGCGGGTGAGGCGCTTAGCGGGAAGCAGGCGCGCAGCGGGTGAGGCGCTTAGCGGGAAGCAGGCGCGCGTAGGGTGAGGCGCGTAGCGGGAAGCAGGCGCGCCGCTGGACGGGCGCTTAGCGGGAAGCAGGCACGCAGCGGGTGAAGCACTTAGCGGGAACGCGCGCCGCGGGTGATGCGCTTAGCCCTAAGCGGGCGCGCAGCGGGACGGGAGCTCAGCGGGAGGAAGGCGCGCAGCGGGCGAGGGGGTAAGAGGAGTGGCGGCGTCGCGAGATGCATGCAACGCGCTGAGCTCGACGACGGATTTTGAATTCCCTAATCGCGACCTAGGCTTACTCTATCGCGGCGACCGCAGGGTGGTGATGCCACCAGAGGAGGCGCCCTTGATGCCTCGACTCTGCCGATAAAGGCTGCACCGCCTGCTGTTTCGTATGCACAGCTGAGCCCGTCCGATTGTTGAAGGGCGCTGCGACGGAAGGGAGCTGGCGGCCAAACTAGATGCCCCTTGTACTACCCAAAGCGTACAATGTAGGTAGTCCCGTAGCTCTAGTTCGTACTTGCGCGGTAAATTCCTTTTAGTATACGCCGCTGCTCCCCCAGGTCTCCTATGTCTATGCTATGGCTATGTTATTAGACGCTTATCATGCTTGCTTCGGGCTGTGAGTGTCACTGCAAGGTTGAGTGACGGGGGAGCTTTCCGTGTCTCGCACCATTCATTCTCCCTTTTTTCGCCAAACCCTCACGAACCTCATTTCTGTTCGTTTGGGCGAAGTTTTCAGGGCTACTGTACAACCCTAAACAGTAAACGCAAATGTATACAAAAGCTTTAAGATTTTGCTTACACTCCTGTGTACATTTTGAAATACTTTGTAACATGCAGAGGGTTAGAGAACAAGACGTGAAACCATCCATACAGCCTTCAGGAGAGTGACACAGGCCTGGAGATGAACCTGAGACCCTATTGGCTGACAGAAGAGGGCAGTGTCACACCATGCCATGCCACCATAGTGACCTACGGAATCAATTACAATTTATAGACCTTAACCAGAGTGTTTTGGCACTAGGGCTTTTGTTGTGGACCTTTAAGACTAGCTAGCTCGTCAGTTAGATTCAGGCACCTTCATGCCGCCACCGCGCTTCCTTGTTTCCAGCCTGCGACACGAAACACATAACATAGCGCAAAATGGACATAGCATTACATCAAGTTTTGATGGCACTTATCCATCACCCACTCTATCTCCTCAGACACCCATTCAGCACACCCTGCCTGCCCCTTGTCCACCCCACATGCTCCTGGAAAAAGCCCCCACTCCTAAATCCTGTCTCACCCATCCCTACCCAAGATACAAAAGCCACCCATGCATAAATCAGGGAAAACAAAAACAACAAAAAAGGTACTCACGAGGGTGCGAGCTTCCCCAGGCTGAGGAGGTAGTCACCCGTCTCCTCATCATACACGCTCCCATTGATCTCCACTCGGTACGACATGTTGGGCTTCGAGGGCAGCCCTCTCTTCATAAGCCGATCCAGGTCCTTCTTGTGCAGCTCCCTCCCGTTCACATACACCCGCGAGGCACCTCCAGCACAGTCCACCGGAATCGGCGTCCCAAACTCAATCCCCGGCTGCAGAGGGGAGGGAAGGCACAGGCAGCGGAGATGCGGGTAAACAGATGTGAAATGAGGACAGCAGTCAAACGAGAGGCCTTGTGGTCGCCCCATGATGAGCCCATGACGGTCCTTTTCAGGCAGGCAGCCCTCTCTTCATAAGCCGGTCCAGGTCCTTCTTGTGCAGGTCCCTTCCGTTCACATACACCCGCGTGGCACCTCCCGCACAGTCCACCGGAACCGGCATCCCAAACTCAATCCCCGGCTGCAGGAAGGCAAGGTGGAAGGTATCAGGAAGATGGGGGTGTAAGAGGTCAAGGAGATGGATTAACAAGAAAGTGGATGAAGGAAACTCTGTGGAGAAAAAGAGGGAATCTGGCAGGATGTGGGAATAACTCGGGAGGAAGAGGCAAGAAGGAACGGCTGGATAATTTGTTTTGGCGAGTTCGGAGGCCCATGGGTCATGCATGGTTATGCATGGGTAGCGTGCATGGGGTATGCATGGGGAGGATGCATGAGGTATGCATGGGGAGCGTGCATGGGGGAATGCATGGGGGTATGCGTGGGAGTATGCATGGGGTATGCATGGGGAGCAGAATGCATAGGGTATGCATGGGGAGCAGAATGCATAGGGTATGCATGGGGAGCAGAATGCATAGGGTATGCATGGGGAGCAGCATGCATAGGGTATGCATGGGGAGCAGAATGCATAGGGTATGCATGGGGAGCAGAATGCATAGGGTATGCATGGGGAGCAGAATGCATAGGGTATGCATGGGGAGCAGAATGCATAGGGTATGCATGGGGAGCAGAATGCATAGGGTATGCATGGGGAGCAGAATGCATAGGGTATGCATGGGGAGCAGAATGCATAGGGTATGCATGGGGAGCAGAATGCATAGGGTATGCATGGGGAGCAGAATGCATAGGGTATGCATGGGGAGCAGAATGCATAGGGTATGCATGGGGAGCAGCATGCATAGGGTATGCATGGGGAGCAGAATGCATAGGGTATGCATGGGGAGCATGCATGGGGTATGCATGGGGAGCATGCATGTGGTATGCATGGGGAGCATGCATGGGGTATGCATGGGGAGCGTACATAGGGTATGCATGGGGAGCGTACATAGGGTATGCATGGGGAGCGTACATAGGGTATGCATGGGGAGCTTACATAGGGTATGCATGGGGAGCGTACATAGGGTATGCATGGGGAGCGTACATAGGGTATGCATGGGGAGCGTACATAGGGTATGCATGGGGAGCGTACATAGGGTATGCATGGGGAGCGTACATAGGGTATGCATGGGGAGCGTACATAGGGTATGCATGGGGAGCGTACATAGGGTATGCATGGGGAGCGTACATAGGGTATGCATGGGGAGCGTACATAGGGTATGCATGGGGAGCGTACATAGGGTATGCATGGGGAGCGTACATAGGGTATGCATGGGGAGCGTACATAGGGTATGCATGGGGAGCGTACATAGGGTATGCATGGGGAGCGTACATAGGGTATGCATGGGGAGCGTACATAGGGTATGCATGGGGAGCGTACATAGGGTATGCATGGGGAGCGTACATAGGGTATGCATGGGGAGCGTACATAGGGTATGCATGGGGAGCGTACATAGGGTATGCATGGGGAGCGTACATAGGGTATGCATGGGGAGCGTACATAGGGTATGCATGGGGAGCGTACATAGGGTATGCATGGGGAGCGTACATAGGGTATGCATGGGGAGCGTACATAGGGTATGCATGGGGAGCGTACATAGGGTATGCATGGGGAGCGTACATAGGGTATGCACTCACTGGAATGATGCCGAGGCATGGGCCGCCCATCTCGCCCCAGAACCCAGACTCAGGCACACCATCAGCATGCAAGCTTCTCAAAGGATGCATTGGGGCAGCATGCATGCATCAAGCAGCACTCCTGGCACTCACTGGAATGATGCCGAGGCATGGGCCGCCCATCTCGCCCCAGAACCCAGACTCAGGCACACCATCAGCATGCAAGCTTCTCAAAGGATGCATTGGGGCAGCATGCATGCATCAAGCAGCACTCCTGGCACTCACTGGAATGATGCCGAGGCATGGGCCGCCCATCTCGCCCCAGAACCCAGACTCAGGCACACCATCAGCATGCAAGCTTCTCAAAGGATGCATTGGGGCAGCATGCATGCATCAAGCAGCACTCCTGGCACTCACTGGAATGATGCCGAGGCATGGGCCGCCCATCTCGCCCCAGAACCCAGACTCAGGCACACCATCAGCATGCAAGCTTCTCAAAGGATGCATTGGGGCAGCATGCATGCATCAAGCAGCACTCCTGGCACTCACTGGAATGATGCCGAGGCATGGGCCGCCCATCTCGCCCCAGAACCCAGACTCAGGCACACCATCAGCATGCAAGCTTCTCAAAGGATGCATTGGGGCAGCATGCATGCATCAAGCAGCACTCCTGGCACTCACTGGAATGATGCCGAGGCATGGGCCGCCCATCTCGCCCCAGAACCCAGACTCAGGCACACCATCAGCATGCAAGCTTCTCAAAGGATGCATTGGGGCAGCATGCATGCATCAAGCAGCACTCCTGGCACTCACTGGAATGATGCCGAGGCATGGGCCGCCCATCTCGCCCCAGAACCCAGACTCAGGCACACCATCAGCATGCAAGCTTCTCAAAGGATGCATTGGGGCAGCATGCATGCATCAAGCAGCACTCCTGGCACTCACTGGAATGATGCCGAGGCATGGGCCGCCCATCTCGCCCCAGAACCCAGACTCAGGCACACCATCAGCATGCAAGCTTCTCAAAGGATGCATTGGGGCAGCATGCATGCATCAAGCAGCACTCCTGGCACTCACTGGAATGATGCCGAGGCATGGGCCGCCCATCTCGCCCCAGAACCCTGCGACCTGGTCGTACCTGCAGCAGCATCATTCCCACACCCAGGAGAATTCGAATCAAAGCACAGTTACGTCACTTTCCTTGGTAGGTGTGAAGTAAAAAGGCATGAAGGCGTAACACAGACATGCAGAGGCAAGCAGTTGGGGAAATAGATGCTTCATAATTGGGGAAGAGGGGGAAGAGCAGGTGGAGAGCAGAAAAAGGAGCGGAAAGAGGGGGAAGAGGAGGGAGGGGAGGGAGAATGGGAGGCGCGGGAGTGGGGGAGGGGGAGGGGAGAAAAGGCGAGATTTAAAAGCATGCAAGAAATCAATTGATTTTCTGAATTCCTGCACTCACCAGTAATTGCCTGGGTGGATGTTTCCTGCCCGTTGCTCCACCACAGCAACATAGTCATCCCGAATCGGCTCCCCATTCACAATCACTCTCCGGGAAAACGTTGCCCGCTCCTCCCCCCCACTGCCCCCTCCTCCCCCCATCCCACCCCCCTCCCTCGCCCCGCGAGGGGAAGGGCTCGGCATGCCTCCACTAGAAGACATATCTCCCGATTCGAAGCTGCTCTGTCGCTGGTAGATCATCCGTTTTGGTCCGCTCACGCCTCCCCCCCTCCCCCCGCCTCCCCCTCTTCCGCCTCCCCTTCCGCCCCCATACCCCTCTGCTCCGCTAACAGGGGAGCTCAGATCCGATTCTGATTCTGGCCGCATGTGGTGGTAGAAACTGCCGGCCGCGTGCCGCCCGGCCGACTCCTGGCGAATCACAACAGTGCTCTCCGAATCCGCGTTGGACGGCGTGCGCCCGTGCTGACCTGGATTGTGCATCTGCTGACCTGGATTGTGCATCTGCTGACCGCCAAACCCCCCACCAGGACGCTGCATGCGCGGAGACAGCGGGGGCGCTCCCCCTCCGCCTCCGCCTCCCCCTCCCCCCATCCCTCCCCCCATGCCTCTCCCAAACCCTCCCCCTCCAGGTAACCCTTGCAACAGCCTAGGAGACCTGGGAGGTGCGTGTTGCTGCTGCTGCTGCTGCTGCTGCTGCTGCTGCATGTAATCATTCTGCTGATACTCATTTCCGCTATCTGCCACGTCAGGGTTATCCGAAAACCCTTCCCCACCGCTAACCCCGCCGGCAGCAGCAGCAGCGGCGGCAGCAGAGCGTGGGTCGGCTGGGTTGACTCGGAAGCGTGAGACGCGCATGCACTTGCCGCAGCGCAGCTTCTGAATTCCCTTCTTGGCCGGCGGGAGGGCTGCTGGGACCTCTAGAAGCTGGGAGCAGCGCTGGCACTGGTGGGGGTGAAGAGACACAAGCAGAGGGGAAGGGAAGGAAGGACGAGGAGGAGGAGCGCAGAGAGGGGAAGGAAAGGAAGGAGAGGAGGGAGTAGAAGAGATGAAAAGAGAGAGACGGGGTGAGACGCGCATGCACTTGCCGCAGCGAAGCTTCTGAATGCCCTTCTTGGCCGGCGGGAGCGCCGCTGGGACCTCTAGAAGCTGAGAGCAGCGCTGACACTGGTGGGGGTGATTGGGGGGGAGAGGAGAGTAGAGAGGAGAAGCGAGGGAGGGGAAAGGGGTTGAGTTGAGACGCAGCACAACTCCTGTATGCCCTTCCTGGCTGGAGGGAGGGCTGGGACTTCCAATGGCTGAGAGCACCGCTGACAGTGGTGGGGGGGTGATTAGAGGTAGACAGGTGGAGAGGAAGAGAGGAGGAGGGGAGAGGAGAGGGGAAGAGGTGAGGAGGGGAGAGGAAAAGAGGAAAGGAAGTTAGACGCGCATGCACTTGCACGCATCAGTAGAAGGGCCGCTTGGCTGGGCCTTCCAGCCTTATATCGGAGACACTTAAAATAATTTTCATAAGTGACCTTCGGTCAGTGCTGGCGCTGTGGGTGGGTGTGCTGGGGCCGGAAGGGGAGGGGCTGAATCTGCGGGAGTGGTTTTTATATGAGGCGAGCAAAAACGAACTGCTCGTTTCATAATCCCAACGAAAACGACGCGAATTGTTGCGTGGCTGTAACCAGTCCGCGCGGAGAAGAGAGACCCAACCTCGCGAAACTCGCAATGGTGCGCAACCAACCAGGGTTCTTTCTTTCCGTCCACGAATCTCCAGCTTCGTTCGCAAAAGTTTTCGCGCACAGAGGGGGTTCGTTTCAGCTTTCCACCTCAAAATTTCCCGCCGATGTTTAGCGCGCGGCTAATAACAGGGTATATTTCCGACGGGCTAAAAGCTGCCCGCTAACCTCGTTAAAAGTCGTTCGCGCTATAGCACGCTCTTGCAGCGTTCTTGGCCTCGACTTAACCAGGCGTCCCGAGTTTGCAAACAGCGAGAAAGATAAATATGTTACCTGGTCTGTTAATATCGAATACCAGAAACCTAACGCAATTTCTTGTGCATGTGTGCACGCGCGAGGTAGGAAGAAAGAATGAAAAAGGAGAGAAAGCAGAGCAAAGGACGCCAGGGAAAGCAGTGGAAAGCAGAGAAAGGCAGTGAAAGTGAGTGAGCGAGAGCGCGTACCTGCACGACTTGCGGGCTGCCCGGGGGGGGAAGCATGGGCAGCTCCGATGGGTCCACCTCCGCCTTCCCCGCCTTCCCCTGCGCCGCCATTCCCCCCGCGTCCCCCGCGCCCTCTAAGCGCGGATTCACCGACCGGCTGCGCGGATACGCGCCCCCGCCGGCCCCCCCTTCCGACGCGTCCGAAGTGTAGTAGTGCTCTTCCCCCATGCTCATGCGCCCGCTTCCGCCCATTCCCCTTCCCCCAGGCGCATGCGGGGGCATTCCGCCGCCCATTCCCCCCATGGCCATGCGCCCGCCTGCACCCATCACCCCCATGCCGGTGGATCGCGAACGCTGCATGTTCTGGTGGTAACCATCTTCGCCGTACATCCCGTCGCTTTCTTCGCCGTACTCTCCCCCTCCCTCCATGTACCCGCCTTGCGAAAACCCGCTCCCCGCGCGTTGGCGGTACGGACTGCCCGGCGCGCCCCCCATCCCCCCCATTCCGCCCATTCCCCCGCGCCCTCCGCCTGCCACCATCTGCTGCGCCTGGGTCCTCCGCGGAGTAATCATCCCCCCGACGCCCATTCCCCCCGTCGCGTGCGGGTTCTGTCTTAACGGCGACCGGTGCCGGCCGTCAGTGGCCGTTAACGACCGTCCGATCTCCGGCTCTCCGCCGCCAAACTGCCCCCCTCCGCCGCCTCCGCCAGCGCCTCTCCCCGCACCAGGTCCGCGCGGAGTGGGCGCTTTGGTTCCGACCGTCATGCTCCGCCCGAACTGGTCCGCCAGGGGGTCTTCCACCCCCGCGCCAACCGCGCCCACCCCCCTGCGCATTCCGCCTTCCGGTCCGCCCACGAACGATGAGTGCGGAAGCTTCCCCCGCCCGCCCCTCCCCGCGCCCATGCCTGGCCCTCCGGCATGCGGCCCCCCCGCGCCTGCTGCTCTAACTCCGCGCGGAGGGGTTTTGTTGTTCGGCGCGGGGGCGACCATAGACATAGTGCGCTTATAACGGGGCTCTGCCGGTTGTTCTTCTTGCTGTGGAGACGGCTGGTAGATCATCGAGTTAATCCGCGTGAATTGCGCCTGAGGTGCGCCGCCGCCGCCGGCTACGCGGCGTCCGCGGCCAGGGTTGCGCGCGGGGGGACCGTCCCCTCCTCCTCCCCCTCCGCCGGGGGCCATTCGGCGGGGCTGCGCGTAGGGGGACATGGGCCCGCCTTGCTCTTCCCCGCCCGACAATGGTTGAACGTAACCACGTTGCCGACTGGTGGCCATCTGGTTACCACAACCCAACGAATATCTGTTCTGTTCAATAATAAAAAGTTGAATTATCTGAGTGTATTTTCAGGCAGAGCGCTGATACTATCCTTAGTGGGAAGCTGCCTCTTGAAATAATGATTACAACGGATGCGAGACGGTGGGAAAGAGAGGATGTTAGCTACTGGGATGGTTCAAGACACTTGCCAACCCGTGGCTGACTAGAGTGAGTCGACTCAGAACGGTCCTGCTACGAGCCGATTTTCGCTACGAGCCGAAACTGTGAGAACTAGGGAAGTTTAGGAGGGCCGAAAGCGCCATTCCGCCGTGCTCTATACTGTAATGAAGGGAACGAAAATAGAAGGCGGATCGTGAAGTCGACAATAAGTGACCCCGCTATCAGTTCTGCAACGAAGCACGACAAGATCGTAACATAGCTTGACTGCTATCAGCCAGGTTTAGACGCACGTGAACTCTACGATTAGCTTCATAAATACAGCTCGACCACGACCGCAGACGACGCGACTCCAGCTAGTCACACATGCACCAGCACAGCAAATTAGGTCTGCGGTTCCGCGATACAGTTAGCAAATTGCACTGCACACAGTCTACGCACAGGCGAACACTAAGGAGGAAACCAGGGAAGTGAACTCCAGCGGAGAGTGACCGACCTAACAAGTGCGCTGAAATCGCATTGGTGTTTAGTAACCTCTAGTGGTTAGGTTAGGGGACTCCGTTCATAATGAACTGAACTGAACTCCAGTGGCACAACGCCTCGAGTTGCGGCAACTATTGACGTTGCGTCCAGCTCATTGCTCTGCTGGCTTCCGCAATGAGACAACACTCTCCACCTACTTTCGCTGGACCTGCTCAAAGGTGCACAACCTATCAGCCTGCCAGTGATTGGGTCCGTGCGTGTATGCGTGCAGCTCAAACTGCTTTCCTTCTCGCTCCTCATTTTCTCGTTTTCTCGTTTTGTGAAATGGCGGTGGTTGTTTGTGGTGGTGGAGAAAAAGAGAGGCAGAAGGGGGTGCTTATACGCCCCCTTCACAAGGCAACCGGGAGGGGCTCAATCAGGCATCATGTGTATGCGTGGCGGAGAGAGTAGAGGTTGTTTCAGGTGAGATGCTTTACATTTGTCGGTTCTGTGCCCGTCATTCTCCTCGGCGTGTTGTGGCGGCTTCAGTTCCGTACCACCCACCATCCCACTGGATGCTTAGTTTTTTTCCTACTCTAGCGTTTTCTTTTAGCTTCTCTCGTCCATTCTCCGTAAATCGGAAAATATAATGTGTATCTCCATATTTCGCATATGACAGGGAGGGGTTCCCAAGATCTAGATTGTGTTCCTGGGAATCAAAAACAGTAATTTCGAGAAAGTGTTCATTTTGGAACCCTCCATCCTCGTCTACGGGAATTGTCGTCTCCCGTTCCTCCATCCTCCCACACTTCCGCCACACTGCTCTGCACCAAACCAACCATCGGCTTCGCATTCCCCTCATATTCCCCAAACCGCGTGGGGTGGGGGGGCAACCCCTCTCTCTTTGGTACAGTACAGTACCGACCGACGTGGGATCCCCGACGCGCGCGCATTGCGAATCTTTGCGCTGCGCACATCATTCCGCTTCAGCGCCTGCTAGCCTGACATCCACGACGTGCGCGGAACGGGTTCACACATCACGGGAGTAGCCAACCACTGCTGCTGCTTTCAGCGAAAGGACAGCCACAATTGGTTCTGACAAGTGATGTTTCGGGAAAGCACAACGCTCCTTTCACAGGGTGCCACGTCGTACTGAGATTTGGAGCAGGACGGTTGAGGCTGCATCATGTATCTCGTTATGGGCTATTTCGTGATAACGTTGGTTTAGCTAATGTAAGTCTACGTATTCCAATCTATGGGTGAACTATCATTACAATTGCCACCTACATACGGCGCATCATGGAGCAAAATTGTTATGAGTTGTACTAAAAGAGTGTGCAGAAGACTTTATAAAAAGGATGAAAACTACAGAATCACGAGAATGATAAAGAAGCAAGCATTTATAGGGTCGAAACCGTGCTAGGCGAGGACCTCGTGATGTGCGAGGCTTGGATGCGTCGCGATTGGTGCGGGGCGACTCGGAATGTGGTTCGGGCCGAAGTGTAGGCCGAACCCAAACTGACGCGAACAGTTCGGGCTGTACTCGCTAGGAGCAGCCTCTACAGTAATAAATTCACATTCATTACAAATATCTTCCATCTTGGTAACAAAAAGCAGACGAGTGAAATATATATAAACAATTGCCAACCTACACCAGTCCTACAAAATTGATGTTGGAAGTGGTCCATGCTGGTTGTTTTCTTCCAGATCATAACCAACTCTCCCCCTCCAGCATTAAGTGTGCTTAATTCCCTGATTAACAAGAGCCGTTCCAAGCAACCTGTTGACAAGTTCACCCTGCATCACTGCACTCCTGCCATCCGCGCCCAATCCACGAACTGGCTGCTGCCATATATGTTATTAGCAAACCTCACTGCCACCGTGAACGAGCCTGATAGCCACGGCAGGCTCCGAGCCACTGCCGAGCCATCAACCAGCCTCTCCAAACCTGTGACGACCTGGTACCTAGGATTGGAGGATATTGCCATGAAAGCTCCCCAAAGGAGGGCAGTTTTGAAGAGCGGTGGTGGTTTGATGTGGCTGTCCTCTGTATGAGCAGGCTCTCCCTTCTGACGCACGCTTCTGAAATAATTGCGAGAGCGGGAGAAACAAGGGGGAGGATATTGTTAAAGGTCTGAGAGAAATGCTGTGGAGTGAATGGAATATGCGAATCCACATGGAATGCTCAGGTGGGATGTTTTGGGAGCAACAGGAAAGGAGGAATGTGTTGAAAAGAAAATGAAATGAAACGCAAGCCTTTCAGCGCTTCCAAGCAAGCAGTACCTCAAGATGCTGTAACATTGTAACACAACTACCGTATAAGGTTACTCCTCCAAGAATAAGGCTACTCTTGAAAAACGAAACTACAGCGCGTACCTCTTCAGATTCATCACGCCATTAGCGATTCCCTGGCCCAGAAGGCCCGATGCGAAGCCAAACCCTCCATACTCAACGCCCTGGCATTGTGAACAGAGGTAGGAAGCAGGGAAAGGAGGGAGAGGAGGGGACAGAGGTGGATGGGCAGAGGACAACTTCTAAAATGCAAGCTCATGACATTTGAGGATGTTGAGGGGAGCAGAAAAAAGTGGAATAACTTTGGTAGTTATGTGGCAAAGTATAGCCATATGCATGAGATTGAGAGGAAAGTGAGGGCTTGGGCCTTAAAGCCCGCGGCCCAAATTGCGGGCCGCGCGGGTCAAGCTTTTAAAACTTGACGAACTAGTGTTTGCAAGGTTTGAAAAAAAGCGCGCCTGCAATTTGGGACTTTCGGGGACTGAACCAACCCCCAGGGCGAAATACGAGGGCGGGCTGGTTTTGGCGAAAAAAACGAAAGAACCGAAATCTAAAACGTTCGCCAAACCCCAGACCAGAAAAACCCCCTCGCGTCAAGCTTTTAAAAGTTGTGCAATTTGGGCTGCCGGCTTTAACTGAGTGGGTCGGGCAGATTTATCACCTTGACAAAGAGGGTGACAGTTCGTTGGGCAGCTGAAAACTTATGACCTGGAAGGGATGCCTCAAAGACACTGTTATAGGAAAGGGGGCGAGGGAGAACGGAACAAAAGAGACCAAAGGAAGGTAAGAACCAGCATACGAGAAAAAGAGACCGTTTTTGTAAGTGCTTTAAATATATAGTAACAGGAGGCTGCAAAGGGAGGAGGGGAGCAGGAGTCAAGGCAAGAGCACACAGTGGACCTTGGCTCTTGTTGTATTGGGTTTTAGGGTTCTATTCACATCAACGATTCACCGTACTGACCTGCTTGGGAGCGCCAAGAGCGCAGCGGAAACACCACGCGGTAAAATGCGCGGGAACCGTCCACCAGCTGCTGACGTGGCGAATCTCGCGGCCGGCGCGAGCGAGCCCACGACGGCGCCCCCGAGGATGATTCCGACGAGCATATCCGAGAGGTAGAGGTCGAACTCCTTCCAGAAATCGTCGCCGCGCTTCTGCACCTCTGCGAACGTCGCGCACGCGCAGTCGATGGCGATCTGACGAACAAAAGAAATGAATAGATAAGTAAATAATTAGAATCAGAAAACGAAAAGCGTGAGTCGGATGTAGCTTGGATAGAAAAGAGTGGGATGCAAGCGGGAAAACAACCAGAATTTGTATTCGCAACTGAATCCGTCAACCACCTCCGTTACTTAAAGCCAGGGTCTCATGTAAGCTAAGGAGCCATCGACCCTGTAGTACGTGAGACCCTGGCTTTAAAAGACTCACCTCCGAGAAAACCTTGAACAGGAACGAAGGGTCCATCAGCAGGCGGTTACGAAGCGCGGCGCAGTTGCTTATAGCGGGGCCCAGCGACGAGTTCTGCAGGTCCATGAACCTCTGAAGAATCACTTCCGATATACCGTGCTCCCGCGCGTGTAGCAGCATGTCGTCCGGAAGCGTTACGCCCTTCCGCAGCAAAACCGCCTCGACGCGCGGCCATCCCAAGAGCGCGCCGAAATCTCCGCCCCTCCCGCTCTCGTCTCCGCCTGCGTCTCCCCCGCCGCCTCCGCCGCCTCCGCTTCCCCCCGACCGCCCGTCCCCGTTGTTTCCGCCGTCTTCGCCGTCTCCGCCCCGAAACGATCCGCCGTCTCCCCCTCCTCTGCCCGTGTCCGTCATTGCTTCTGGCTCTTCCGCAACAGGCGGCGGCGGCGGCGGCGCAAGGATGGTGGCTTGCGCGCGGAGAGTGGTTCCGCGATGGCCCGCGTCCTTCCTCCAGCTTTTTACAGCCGCGGGATTCACGCCGGAACTGACTGCGATTTCGCGGTCCATATTTGCGACGACGACGAAGTTGACGGCGGCCGGCGAGGCTGTAACGGTTAGCCGACTGGGGAAGGTAGCGGAGAACGAGCAAGCGTCAACTCCGGGCATCCGGAGGGTGCTACTGAGCGCAGAAACACAGGCGGAACCTTGAGCCGCGGGAAGCGCGGAACGACAGGCGACGACGGGCGCGGGGAGTGCTGCGGAGAGTGTTCCTCGCGTGTGCGCGACTGAGGAAACGTTGACCAGAACAGCCATGGCTATAACGAGGATAATTTCGATGAACGGTGTTGTAAGGAAACCTAAATGTCTCACCAGTGGTGAACACTAATATAAGCCGCTTTCGCTCTTGACTGACGGTTCACGCGGCCACAGGCTCGGGAGAGAGTACTGAGTCAGTCAGTCAGTCCTTTAACATTTCGAGTTTTCAGTCGTTTCAACGCTTCGGTTTAGGCAGAATGCGAGCTCACGAGGAATTAAATACGGCCACGAGGTGAAGTACGGACGCAGTTTTTTAGGGTGTTTCACTCTGACGCTCCTATGCGCTGCGGCGTTCAGTGCAGTCGCAGCGTACGCGGATTCACTGCCGGATCAACGTATGACGTGTAACTTGTAACCCCGCGATTCGCTTCCGGAATCCTGGGAAGATTCGATTCCACGTTTTGACTTCGTCCCGTTTCCGTTTCGCAAGGCCGTCCGCTCCGTTTCGGTCGAGGTACCACCGCCGCGACACGCGACACAGGTTGCTTTCAGCCAATGTTCACGCTTCACGTCGGCTACGTTCTTTGATAGTAGTAATAAATGAGGAGTCACCTGGACCAAATTGGCTGAGGGCGACCAAACGATGCTAAAATGGCTCGATTGAAGCGACGAAGAGAGCCTCGCAGAAGGTGCGTGCACTATCTCTGTTGAGAGCAGGAAAAAAGGACCGGATGGTCTGGCCTTCTGAAATCGTGAAAGCGGTTTTGCTTGTGATCAGTTGAAGCCGAAGCATATACCTTCAACACGACACGTGATCAGAAACGGACCAGGAGCGGAATGAGCAAATGAAAGACGAGCAGCGAGGAACGAGACGAGAGCGAGAAAGAGAGAGATGTAGTGGCGAGCATGAGGGAGAGGCGACTGACCAGCCATCGGCTGACATGACGTATCATGTGGCGGCGGCTGGCGCTGCTGCCATGTGGAAATTCGCAAACGATTCTGAACCAGCAGTGCGCCAGGCGCCGCTTGTTCGCCGACCTGGAGGGAACCAACGGGCTTGCAGAACCACCAATCGCGCTGTATGCGAAAGTTGTAGCGAACTAACCCGGCACGATGGCCAAGCGAAAATGTAACAAGTGTGGAAACTGGAGGCTGTGATATAAAATTGTAATGCGACGCGGAAATTCGCGATCCGATAGAGGGATGTGGTGTGGTGTGGTGAGGCATTGCTGACTCGTTTCCGCCGCTGCGCGGCTGGAAACTGGGACCACGTGCAAGGTGATCGAGGGAGCAGAGAGCCCGGTTCCCAGCTTTGCTGGAGCTTTGTTGGATGTGGATGACAGTCCGATATAGGAATTGCAATAAAAGATATTAGGTAGCCTTCCAACTGGACACCATCAAAGTTTCTTCACCGCTTTGCCAAAACATCCACAACCAGTGATGCATGATGCTAGGCAATGCCACATACAGCACATGGGCACAATATGGATGCTGCTGGAATGGGAAACCAGTCATTATCTATCAGTAACCATAAGTTACAGATTTGCTGTCGATCATCTTAGCAGCGAGTCGATTTCATCCATACTATTCTACGTTGTGCTGATCATTTGCTACCAGCATTCTGATAAGTGGGCGCGCATAGCCCACAGGCCTCCCAAAACCCAGATTAACATGCAAACACACAAGCACCTCAGGAGCTACTGTAATATAACGTACCCAAAATTCTCACAATTTGTTTTTCACCATCATTGCCAAGCACTTCAGGGCGTCTGTGATCTTGAACGGGCCTCTTGCACCATATCGTACCCAGGCATTTACTCCTTAGCACGCCCTCAACATGTCGGTGTCCCTGTGAATCGACTCTCGCCATCATGGCATGCCATCCTTTGACGCGCCTCAAAAGCCATCATGGCATGCCATCTCATCTCCACATGTCCTCTCCTCTCCACATGTCTCCCCGCTCCCTCCCCCTCTCCCCTTCTCACCTCCCTCCCCCCACACACCCACATGGCTGTCACTCATGCTTCGTCATGCTTCCCCTACCGTCTTAGCACGTTCCCCCAACGTCATGCCTCCCCTAATGTCACTTGTGTTTCCCCACGGGACCGCTGCTGAAGGAATCTGCGAGCATCGTCTCCACCTCCTCACACGCCAGCACGCGCACGTCCAGAGAGCGCTGGTTGGGCAATATGTTGCTGGACAGGGGTGGAGGGGAGGGGAGTGGATGGGGGGAACTAGCCTGAGGGCAAAGAGAGGAATATGTCTACCTCCTCACACACCAGAACTCGCACATCCAGAGAGCGCTGGTTGCGCAGAATGTTGCTGAGAAAGGGAGGGCAGGGGATGAGAGAGGAAGGAAAGGGAAGACAGGGTCTGGTGTGGGCATCCCTAAACCCTCCTCACATGCCAGCACTCGCACGGCCAGCGAGCGCTGGTTGCGCAATATGTTTCTGGAAAAAGGGGCGAAGGGGGGGGTGAGGGGAGAGGAGAGGAGGAGGAAGGGGGAGAGGGGGGAGGGGGGGGGGGGGGGGTGCTGGTTGGAGAGATTTCTTTACTTCCTCACTTACCAGCAGGGAGGGCAGGGAGGAAATTTTGCATGGAAAGGGAGCGGAAGGTTCTTATCCAAACCGCCTTCACCCACCCGTGTCGAATGATGAACTCGCGGTATTTGTCAAGCAGGCCTGACAGGGTCTTGGCCTTGACATGCGCTCGCAACTCGCGATTGGTGATGGTCCATGCCATGTGGCGCTGCCTCATTTGCTCCAAAATAATGTTGAACGTCTTGAGGCTGAAGGGGAAGGAGAGAGCGGTGGAGATGGGTGCAAAGGAAGTGATGGGCGTTGAGGCATGGCAATGTGGTTGGTGATGGTCCATGCCATGTGGCGCCGCCTCATTTGATCCAGAATGATAGTGAACGTCTTGAGGCTGGCAGGGGGGGAGAGGTGGAGATGGGTGCAAAGGGATAAGGCACGGCAAGGCGTGGTTGAGGATGGTCCACGCCATGTGGCGCTGCCTCATTTGCTCGAGAATGATGTTGAATGTCTTAAGGCGGAAGGGGAAGGAGAGGGCAGGAGAGAGGGAGGGGGGAGGGGGAAGTGGGCAAGGGAGCAGAGGAGAGCAGGCGTGATGGGATGGGAGCAAAAGAATGTAACGGAACAATTTGAGGCTGAGGGGGAAAACAAGCGGTGGAGATGGGTACAAAGGAAGAGACGGGGGTTGAGGCATTGCAAGACATCATAGGCCATATGCATGCCGAATGGGAAGGTCAAGTCACACAGGAAGATGTTGAACACATCTAGCGGCTGATGGCGTTAAGATTAGAATGGCGTGCCAAGTCATGTATGCATGCAACTCTTGAACACGAACGAGCACTCACCGCTTAACGAGGGAGGCGGAATCCAGACGCTCATCTGAGTTTTGAGAAGCCTCAACTCAAGACTGTGCTAATAAGAAGAGCGTCAAGCATGCAACTCTTGAGCAACAGCACTCACCGCTTAACGAGGGAGGCGGAATCCAGACGCTCATCTGAGGAGAACACCACGTCGAACTGCGATGGCGGGAGAGTGGAGGGGAGGGGAAGGGAGGGGGGGGGGAGGGGGAAGGGGAGGGGAGGGGGAATGGGAGGTAGAGCAAGAGAGGGGTCAGACAGAATACGGCGCAGTGAAGGGCAGACAGAGTACCACATCGAACTGAAGAGACAAGGGGGGAGAGCGGAGGGGAGGAGAGGGAATGGGGGTGCAGGAGAAGGAGCAGACACAAGGGTGCAGTGAAGGGTGGAAAGAGAAGATTCGAAACGGTCATCTGAGGATAATACAACGCCAAATTGAGGAGACGAGGAGGGAAAGCGGAGGGGAGGAGAGGGGACGGGGGAACGGGAAGGAAGGGTAACAGGAGGGAGAGCAGGAGAGGGGGAAGGAGGTAACACAGGAAGCAGTGAAGGGAGGAGAGCGAAAGGTTCGAGAAGGTAATTGAAGAAAAAGTACCATAATACCATTGTTGAAGTGGGATGGAGGGAGAGAGAGTGAGGGGGGGAGAAAGCAGGGAGAGCAGAAGAAGGGGCAGAGGGAACAGTTGAGCAACAAAGATCGAACGATCGAGCAAAGGAGAGTAGGGGGTCATCTCATAAGACAAGTCCAAATTGGAGTGACCCTATTCTGATTGGTGCGTACCTTAGCGAGTGTGTGCATGATGAATTTGTCCCTGTGATTGTCCCTACTGA